CATGTGGGATGAGGTTTAGCGTCTAGGTGATTTTGCAACGACAATTCCTAAACCATCCTAAACCCTAAACCCACCTAAACCCCTAGACCGTGACCCTGAGCCCAAGCCCTATTCCCGTCTAGATTCTAGATCCCCTAAATGCTCCAAATTGCGTTGTAGAGAGGCCTGTATACAGAAGCCCCTGAAACCTGTAGAAACCATATCCCGCAAAAACCCCAAAGACTACAGAAGCCCCAAACCCTGAATGAACCCAAAAGCCTGGCCTAACCTCTAAGGTAAAGGGCTGTGCGCCGCACCGCCGCTCGTTCACTGAGGCGGCTCCATGTCATCCGGAGCCTGTGGACTGCGGTTAGGTCATGATATCACAGCCTTCTAGGGTTTTAAGACTTTACGTAGTTTATTTGCCCTTAGGATGGCAAGGGATTTAACGTTTCGTTGCATGAGCTATCATAACGTCGTATGCGGCTTTGTCGTTTCTGGATGTTAGAGTGATGTATATAGGGTTTGTAGGATTCTATGAGATTCTGATGGACTGTTATCCTGTTCGATAGTACTGTGGCCTGAACAATTCAGGCTAGCTCTTGGTGGTAGAATGTAGACTGTAGATGATATATGAACGATAGAGTACTCTGTCGCGCATAACATGTTCTGACATCTATCTTTTTGACTGGAGCGATCAAGTATTGCGATCGAGCTCTGACAAGCCCGAATCCCAAGTGCCTGAAGCAGTTAACACCCGAATATCTAAACTTAGGTTGGCTTTGGCTGAGAAACTTTTGGCACTCTAACAAAAGAGGGTATGGGGGTAGCTTAGCTATTCACTGTTTACCCAGTTGTTTCCCCTACAGCAAACCCCATAAGGTTGGAAACCAGATTGAGGCCAAATAGTGCTGGGATTCCCTATTCATTACTCTTCAGGACTTAGGCTATTGGGTTTCCAACTTTTGGGCTTCTACTGTATGGGGTTTAGTCAAAGATGCTTCGCAGGATATCCCATTTAGCCCTTCAGCTCTTCCACGAACTAGCTCCTGCACGAAAAACTGTGCTTATTGTTGTCTCACGTTCAATCTCTTTGACGTCAAGGAAGGATCCAGACAGAAACAAACATGCCGTCAGAAACCAGAGAACCCCAAACCCGAAACCCTGGACCCCAGGCCCTACCACCTAAAAATCCTCAACATCCCAACCCCGAAAACAATCAAGCCAATTAAGCATGGGCTATGACAGGGCCTGTGACAGGGCCTATGACAGGGCCTGTGACAGGGGTGGACTGGGCCTACAGCAGGGCTATGCACAGGTAAAGGGCAGGCTGTCGGGGGGGGGTTCTTTATGTGAAACCTGAACCTGAACACCGCCAGACAGCGTCAACCATCCATGCCTACGCGGACCACTTTGCTCCAGTTTTGCCGCATCCGATTGCTCTGGGCACCTTATGCAAGGAGCGTATTTTCAGCAAGAGTCTACATTTGTAGTTCCTGTTAGTTCTGGTTTAACCAACTGCATTTAGGATCATGTAAGGCAACCACAGCAAATAAAACGGAGACTCTATTGTATATGTATATGTATGTATATATATATATATAAATATTATAGGGGGTTTCGGGCTGAGTAGTACTAAGTGCCGGGGCCTGTAACCGTATAACCTCTAAATGGCAATGTAAGTTATCTGTAAAACTTTGCAAAGCAATGATAAAACAAAACGAAGACATTATCCTTCCCAGGCATGTGGCTGAGGGAAGGTGCCTAAACCCTAAACCAGAAACCCTAAACCCTACACCCTAAACCTCAAACCCTAAACCCTAAACCTCAAACCCTAAACTCTAAGCCCTAAACCCTAAACCTCAAACCCTAAACCCGACACCCTAAACCTCAAACCCTAAACCCTACACCCTAAACCTCAAACGCTGAACCTTAAAGGGTCGATGGCTGCAGGCCCGGGAGTGGCAAAGATTTCAGGGTTTCAGCGCTCTTCTTGCCTTTGGTTAGTAGGGAATGGAAGAATGGTACTAATAGTAGTTATAACTGTACCCCATTCCTCCATTCCCTACTAACGTAAGTCTTCAATCCGTGGAAACCCGATATCTGTAATACAGGCCTTAAAATTTAGAATAGGGTTGGTTCCTTTAAGATTCCTTTAAAGGATTCCTTTAAAGGGCTCTGCAAGGGATCTAGAATAGGGTTCTGTAATGGAGCGGCCTTAATAATTAGAATAGGGTTTTGGGGCCCATTATACTAAGATTTGATTAAGGAATCCCCAAACTAGTGTAGGTAATTATTTAGGCCCCCATAGTTCCGGATAGGAGTGCTACCTAAATCCCAAACTCTAAATCCTACCTTAACCCCGAAGAACCTGCATTTTTGAGGACTTATAAAAAGAAATCATAGTAAGGAACCCCAAAAAGGCAGGTTATTCAGGTTAAAGTTCAACCTTATTCCCTACGCCTTAGTGTGACGTGTTCGTTGATGAATGGGGCTGTTGGGATTGATACGTTTCGAGGTTCAGGACTTCCACGGCGACGCAGGCGACGACGACTACTGACGTCTGGCGCCTACTACTACTACTACTGCTGCTGCTGCTGCTGCTCCTCCTACTACTACTACTACTACTACTACTGCTACTACTAGTACTACTACTACTACTACTACTACTACTGCTATTGCTACTGCTACTGCTACTACTAGTACTACGACTACTACTACGACGACGACTACTACTACTACCACCTACTACTAAGTACGACCACTACCACTACCACTAACCACCGCCTAAACACAAAATCCCAAATCGCAGCGTTTGCTAGGACCACCCCGACTGCCCGTTGTCAAGCCTTACCTGAGCCTATAACAAAACTCTAAAAACCACACGCAGCAATTAACGAACGTCGCTGCAAACCTGAAGCACAAATCTTAAGACCAAAACCCCTAATTCCTAACCCCTAGCACTATACCCTAGACCCTGGCCCTAAACCCAAACCCTAACTCCTCAATTCAAACATTTTGCATGGTAGCGGCCTGAAGCCGGCGAAAATTTCCCTCCATTGCTGGCTGTCCGCCTCTGGGGGCTTCTAATTAGGGCCAGTTTAGGGCTTATGGTTTCGGTTTAGGGGCATAAGGGCTGAGTAGCGCAATGCTCTGTCTCAATATTCCAGTTCCCTTGAACCCGAACCCCAACAGCCGCATAAGCCCCAACTCCTAAACTTCCTCAACCCTCCAAGCAATGCTGAATTCAAGCCTACCTGGGTTTCGGCATCGATGCATCGGAATTTGGGGCCCCACGAGCTCCAATGGCATTGGTTTGTGATGCCTAAGCTGCTCATCGCTACAAGATGGGAATGACTCGGCTGTCTAGTGTTGTGAATCTGAGAAATCGTCTCAACATGGCTCCAAAAGCCCTGTGTGAACTAGGTTGTAGATGGTCGATAGCCGAAGCTTTCGGAGAAAAACTGTGCAACTCGTGGTAATGCTCGTACTTAACGGTTTAGGGTTGAGGGTTTAGGGGTTTAGGGCTTACTGCTACGCAGATCTCCAGAAACTGACAGACACGCCAGGCCCCCCCAGCCAAGGATGGGGAAGCAACCTCAAACCCGAAACACTGAACTACAAACGCAATCCCCAAAATTCGAACCCCCCAAACAAAAACCCAAACCCTAAACTTCCTTAACCCCAAATTCGAAACCCCAAGAACCCTTAAACTCGAAACCCTAAACCCCAAACCCTAATTGAGGGGCCTTAAGATAAGATAAGAAACCCTAATTCAGGGGCCTTAACCAGCCTTAATACTTAGAATAGGGTTTTGGGGCCCATTATACTATAAGTATTATTTGGAACCTCCAAAACAGTATTGGTAATTATTCAGGCCCCTACATTAAGGACACTTCCTAAACCCCAAACTCGAAACCCCAAATAGAACCCTAGCCCTAAACTTCCTAAACCCTAAACCCCAAACCCTAAACCTTAAAACCTCCAAAATCCTCAGCGCTTGGAACCTGGCCTCCTTGTCCTTTCTGGAGGCCACAAGAAGCATGGGTCGCTCTGGGGCCTCTTCGTGGGCAAAACGGCTAAACAGAGGGGCCGTAATAATTAGAATAGGGTTCCTTTAAAGGGGGCTGAAGGCCACTATTATCGGGGATGTATTAGGGTACTATACAAAAGGGGCCTCAATAATTAGAACAGGGTTTCGGGGTTCCTGAACTACTAATTGTTACAGATCTGGCATGATCATATGGAGCCCGACGGAGAAACGCAACCCTAAACCCCCAAAAATGCACAGGCTGCTATGCTGAAGAACCCAGAGAGCCCAATACCCCTTAATTAAGGAATATAGCTTAAATCATAATATGAATCCCCTTATAATTTAAGGTATATTGCTTAATTTAGGGGTATTGGGCTCTCTGGGAAGTGAGGCGCGCGCAATCCGCCCGACGGAAAGGCTCAGGATATCCTGTTGAGTGGTTTTGAGGGTGTAGGCGGGACCTCTAAAGGTTCTCTACAGCAAAAGGTAAGGGGTTCCCGGTTGCATTCTCTGACGATTTGTATTTGCGCTGGTATTATAAATATATGGCTCTTTGGAGTGATTGCGGGGTTTAGGGAATTTTGGTGTTATGGATTCTATCGGGGTTTATAGTGTTTCAGGGATTTTAGGGGGTTTCGGAGCATTGGGGGGTTCATGGTTTGAGGGCGTAGGGAACTTGTGAAATGGGTGTATCTTACTCAGAGGTCCTGGCAATAGGACCCTGCACACTAAAGTCCGTACGAGGACGCAAGGACTAGGACAAGTTAGGATTGAAACATGAAGACCTCCCTCCGTTCGCAACTGCATGTGCGAACGAAAATAAGATGTGAGCTCCACACTTTTAGGATCGGACTTTCGGCTTCTCTCATGCAGTCGTCGCTATGCTGCCGGCTCCGACTACCGCCATAGCCTTCCGAATCGGCCAACACCCTAAACTACAGAAACCCTGAATCAAAAAACTGGACACTGCAGTGCGGCACACTCAAACTCACCCTTGTGGCGACCATCTTCCGCAGCGGCCGCTCAAAGGACGTCTCAGCAGCGGATCAAAGGAAGATGGCTCACATGGCAAAGGGGTGCGGAAGTACCAGAAGATCGAATGCTGCATCCCATTGGCATCAACAACCCACTTTGGCTCCATGCTGGTCAGCATGATGCTCTCTGGCCTTCAGCATTCAGCTCTTACATCTCCGAGAAGGCTAGAAACTGACAACATGTTCAGGCCATGACTTTAAGTTCGTATGGGTATACAGTAAACTCCATCAAGTTGGAAACCGGGTTAAGGCCAAATAGTGCTGGGATTCCTTATACATTACTCTTAAGGATCGAGGCTACTGGGTTTCCAACTTTTGGGCTTCTGCTGTACCTCATCCTCGTATGCAAGAAGTTCAGGGCCCCTAAACCCTAAACCCCTGGATCGCCAATCGCCACGGCTCCACCGCTACACTCGACTCAGGAGGTCCTCTCCCCAGAGCCTCCAAAACCCCTTAATGAAGGAATATACCTTAAATCATATAAGGGATCCTATTATAATTTAAGGTATATTCCTTAATTAAGGGGTTTTGGAGGCTCTGAGTCCTTGAAGGAGCAGACAACAGCTGATTTGCAAGGATCTGAACCTCCTGAAGCCAAAACCTGGGTAGTTGTCAAAATGATGGTCCCTTTTTGGGGTACCCTAAATATTAGGTGCCGTATGAGACTAGGGACCCAAAAAGGGAGCCTAATTTGGACAACCACCCACCTGAAGAAGCACAAGGCCCATCGCCTTCTGAGTTTTGGAAGCAAAAGTGTCGACTGGTCGACGCCCCATTTGTACTCAGAGCCTCCAAAACCCCTTAATTAAGGAATATACCTTAAACTATAATAGGATCCCTTATATGATTTAAGGTATATTCAGTATATTCCTTGATTAAGGGGTTTTGGAGGCTCTGAGTTGTACCCGAGCTCCCAGGCCCTCCGTAATCGTTCTTTTTGGTGAACTCGTACCTGTGAAACTAGGATACCCAGTAACCTAAGAATAAAAAGGCCTCTCTTTTTGGTATTGGGTAACTATATAAGGAACCTAGGACTACAAAAAGGGAATAAGGGTACTACTGGGCATCCTGTGAAAAGAGACTGCTGCATTTCAGCCGAGGCGTCGAAAAGGTTCAAGGACCATGCAGAAGAACGTGCCGTCTGCTGTGTATGCACCATTTTGGAAAGGATCGCTTTGCATGTCAGAGTCAGGAACGGTTCTTGTCGCATGCTGCCTGGAGTCGTGAAGGAAGTGTGCATCCAGCAGCAACGAAATAGCCTCGAATGCCGCATCATTGCATGGATGTCGGCTTCATTTGTCAGTTTCCTTTGTCAGGTACGTTTCAAGGTGCGGGCCCCCACGGGTCAGCTGCACAAATAGTCCCCAAGACCTCTGCCTCCTCTTGTGCATCCTCTCGTTTGAGATCTTGCCCTCCGGTTTAGGGTTTAGGGTTTAGGCCTTTTGTAGGGTTTCGCTCTGACATCACAAACATCTGTCCATCTTGAATCCTCCTGCTTTCCAGTCACCACTCCCAGCAGACATCGCAACTGATTGCTGCTTTGCTCACATTGCGAACTGATGAAGCAAATAGCTCAAGCTGGATCGTCCAGTGCACGGCCATGGGGGTGTGGGTCCCATAGAGCGGCTCATCTGTACCAACATGCAGTTTGCAGGTCGTGTCCGTTTCCTCCTGGTGCTCTCCTTTGCTCGGTAAAGTGCCGAAGTGTCCAATCTGAAAGAAACTGACCAGAAGGATCTTGCTGGAAGCGGCGACATGCCTGAAGATGCGTATGCGAGGTAGACTCATCGCAATGTATCCATTCAGAAACCCAGTCCTCGGTATGCCCTATCCATATCCACAGATATGTCTTCCGGAATCCGAAAGTCGTCACTTTCGATGTACTCACGGAATACCTGAGATGCTGGACAAGAATCAGACCGACAAGAGAGTTACAGATGTCAGTCTGCCAAAACCAACATAACACCGGAATCCCACAGAGGCAGGTGGGGTCTAGGAGTCCCTAGTCGAGAAGGGCCGGAACATAAAAGCATCTGAAAGACAACAACTCTCCGGATGCCGGATACAAATTAGAATAGGGTTTCGGGACCCATGATACTATAACCCTAAACTACTATAATTTACCAGGTATCTTAAAATCGTAAAGGAGACCCCATCTCAAGAACAGTGCTGTGAGGGTACCTGGGGCTCGTCCAATATCATCTCCTTGGCTGCTCCCCTGGAACTTCTCAATTGCTATGCTTAGCTAAGACAAGTGCAACCCCACAAAACGGAAAAGGCAACGTAGCCCTCAACCCGCCGAAACCCTTAACCCTAAACTGCGAAATCTCCCGAACCTCCTATCGAAGTCTTATGGTAAACCCCAAAAAACTGGAAACCGGATTAAGGACAAATCGTGCTGGGAAGTTTTGGGATTCTGGCATAAACCACCAAAGCTGCACACACTCCGGCAGTTTTTCCATCGAGTCTCGAGTTCTGCCCGACGCCCCGACAGCACTTCGAGATGCCCCTGGATGAGGCGGAGGGCATCTCGGAGGTCCTGGCGTTCAGGTGATGAGGGCTTTTTAGGGTTTTTATGGTTTAGGGGCTTGGGGTTTTACCCTAAATCCTAAACCCTAAAACCTCAACCCACTAGGGCCTTGGAGGTTAGGGGTTTAGGGCCTGTAGGGCTTTAGGGACTTAGTAACTATGGTTGTAAATGAGGTAACTATACTTGTAATTGTTAGGATACTTATAACTGTACTTACTAAGTCCCATGAGCCCCCAAGTAGTAGGGCTTAGGCCCGCTTTAAAACTGTGGCATATACGGTGAAGGGTGCCCTGCTGCCACTTTAGGGTTTAGGAAGTTTAGGATTTAGGGTTTTCCCGGGCAATTACCCTAAGGCCCCAAAGTAGTTCCTTTTGGGGGTTCGTAAAAAGAATCCTATTAGGTAATCCCCAAAAGGAACTACTTTGGGGCCTATCGGTAGAGATACATCGAGATTTGCAGTTTTGGAGATTGTCGGAATTCCAACGTCTTGAGGTAGCACGCTACACCGGAAAATTGAGTTCGGACGAACCACAGCCCGAAACAAGCAACGTTTGGAGTAAGGACTTCGGTGTCTTTGGGTCTAATGGCATGACTTCGGGGTTCGGGATTGGGTAATGTAGGAACCAGATTATGAAACCCTGGGCCTATAACCCCAAAATAGTAGGAGTATACAGGGAACCCGAATAAAGGCCCAAGGTTTCTCAATCAGGTTCCTACACTACTTGGAGGGTCGGACTTATAAGTACCATAGCCCCAATTAGGATCCCTTTTAGGGTACTTATAAGTCTACTTACTACCTACTTACTGAGCCCCCCGACCCTCCAAGTAGTTAGTCTTTGTAGCCAGACCCGTCTCAATACCAAGACTCTGCAACTACCAAAAGCCCTCAACCTCAAAACGCCAAAAACCTGAGAAGCCACATTGTAAGCCCCCAAGAAGCCATTAACAAGGACACTCCAAACACCCGAAACAACCCTAAACTGTATTTACCTATCTATCTATCTATCTATCTTTATGTGTGTGTATATATATATATACAGAGAGAGAGAGAGAGAGAGAGAGAGAGAGAGAGAGAGAGAGAGACCCTTAATCCTGAACCCTGAATCCTAAACCTTACACCGGGTCCTCCTCGCAAGGCTCTGACTCGGAAGGGCTCACCAGGGCTTGCCATGGTAAGGCCGAGCAGGGCCGGGTGGTGAAGAGCACGAGGTTGCCGAACCTGGTGTTTTTGGCTGAAGATCTAGGGATTTATGTGGGGATTTCGGGGTTTGGGGAGTTTATGATGTTGTGCATTTTGTGATTTTTTGGTTTGCTAGAATACATATAGACTTTCAGACTGGATAGGCCGATAGGCGCTGAAAGAGAGGATACAGCAGACAGAGATAACGGGAGAGAGAGAGAGACAGAGAAAGAAAGACAGAGAAAACAAGTAGATAGATAACCCTAAACCCTAAACAGATCACCCTAATCGCCCTAATCCTATGTCAAGCACCTTCATCAGCTTTGGCGGGGGCTCACAGTGTGGGTCATGGCGTGGGAAATCTGGGGCTCAGGGCGCCAGCTCCCAAAACACGTGGGCCACCTGCCAAAACAAAAAAAAAAACAGCACGGAAGCCATCGAACGCCCCAAAGCCCGAAACAATTTGACTGAGACCTGCTGCTCCCAGCACATTAACAGTCTTTGAGGGGGAACTGCAGTCTTTGGGGAAGAAAAGTAAGATGAACCCGTTTTACATTCCCATTTCTTCTACTTGGACGAGGCGGGATTGGGACAAGCTGCTTGTGTTGCAGCGCGTCCTGAAGGCTTGCACCCCAAACCCTAAATCCAAATTAAAAAATGGCTCGGCCACGCGGCATGGTTGTCCCGTGGTCGTCCGTGACCCGATGCGGGGCGTGTGAAGCGAAAGGATTGTCCTGGGCTTTTCTAGCCGAAAAGACTGGAAGCAGGGTTCTTGTTGATTTTCTTAGTGCAGGGGGCGGGATGAGGTCTGTGTGGAATATACATACATATAAATATAAACATATATATGTTTATGTATATACATATGGATATGGTATAAACCAAGTATACGCTACTTATACACCACGCTTAAGCATGGAACATGCCGAGTTGAAGTCTACCAGCAAATCATCCTAGACACGCGGAGCTCCGGCACCTGGCAGGCTAGAAATGTCGAGGGAGCTCTTAGAGGTTATGGCTTAAGGTTTAAGGGTTTAGGGTTTGTTTTGGGTTTTGGGGTTAGGGTTCTGGGTTTTGGGGGGTTTAGAGGTTTTGGATTACCTTAACCCGAAGAACCTACATGTTTAAAGGACTTGTATGAGGAAATCATAATAAGGAACCCTACAAAGGTAGGTTTTTCCGGGTTAAGGTATGGTTTAAGGTTTAAGGGTCTACCTAGACCTCCCAACTGCCCTTTAATAAACCCCAAATACCCACTATTAAGGATCATAAGGGCTCCATTAGTCTATGCAAGGGCCATTGGGGGGTCCTGGTAGGGCTTATTTAGGGTTTAGGGGTTTCGGGGGTTAGGGTTTGGGTTTGGGGGTGAGGGCAGGCGTTAAGGGTATAGGGTTCTGCCACTGTCAAACCTCACGAAACCCGAAGCTTGGGGTGTTGATTCTACAGCTTAGGTTCTTAATGCGGGTTCCATTGGGGTTCTGCAAACGGTATCTACGAGGGAGACTACAGTATCATACTGCGAAGGTTAGTATACGTTGAAGGCTTAAAGGGATTAGATTTAGGGTTGAATGCTTACGGTACCCCTTGACGTAAACTCCTAAACCCTAAACCCCTAATATTGCAAACCCTACACCCCTAAACCTTAAACCCTAAACCCTGAACCCTCATAGTACCCTTATAGAAACCCTTGTAGATCCCTTTAAGGAACCCTACAAGGGACCCTAAAACCTAAACCCCTAAACCCGAAACTCGAACCCTAACTTTAAATCCTAAATCCCCATAGATCCCTTATAGATCCCTTTAAGGAACCCTAAACGCCCATAGATCCCTTATAGATCCCTTTAAGGAACCCTTTCAGTTACTAAATCCCAGTGTTGAAGCTTTCGCGCCTCGAAGTTGGCATCGAGAAGGAGCTGCTGGACCTCTCCAGACATCGATGCTTTAGAAGGGGCCCCCACCCTGTAATAGTGGTGTAATAGGAATATAATAGGGCCCTAATATAATCCTTATAGTCACTATTACAGGGTGGGGGGCAGCTTCAAATGTTTTTAGGTCTAGGGAGTTTAGTATTGGGGGTTTTGGTTTAGTGTTGAAGGGGTTTAGGGCTAAGGTTTGGGGCTTCGGGGAATCAAGAGTAAATGTCGCAATAGCCCTTAACATACAAGAGTCAATAGTCCGTGCAGTAGTTGCAGTAGAGCTCTAATAGAAACAGCGCGACAACGCGCGGAGGCGCATGGTGGCACGTGGTACCGAGGTGTTTGGCGCAGTGCCATTTCCCTGGGTGTACAGGCCACTGCCGAGGTCAGTCAACAGAACCGGCGCGTCCGTGCCAGCCCTACCCTACAGGGGCGCAGACCGCGGGTCAAGCTTCTTTCGCTGAGAGGTATGGGCACCGATCTGTATTCTGTATTGCTAGACTGGCTTGGCACGCAACAGTGCGCGGATAAGTCCTTTTGCACATGGAGTAACCATACAGGTAAGATATGTTGTGGTAACCCTTTACTAAATGATGATGGCATCGCCGTAAAACCCAAACCATTAAATCCATGTATCGAAACCGCCAGCACCTGAAAACACTAACCTTACCCTATAAGCCTTGTAGAAACGCCAAGCAACCACCCCTAGACCCCTAAATCCTACACTTCTACGTGAACGGTTATCAACCCTTATCGCAATCCGAAAAGTACACTGTAACTCTGATGGAGTGCCTTGTGGCAGAACCCTAAACTTTAAACCCTAAATAAACCCAACACCAAAGCCCCTAAACCCTAAAACCTTAAACCCTAAGCCCTATAAGACCCCAACCCTAAACCCTAAACCAGATAAACCGTAAACTCAGTAAGCCCTAAATCCTAAACTTTAGCCTAAACTTTACCATAAACCCTAAACTCTATCCTGAACTTTACCCTTTACCCTAAACCCTAAACCTTATCCTAAACCCTAAGCCATCTAAACCCTAAGCTTTATCCTACACCCCAAACCCTACCCTAAACTTTACCCTTTACCCTAAACCCTACCCTAAACCCCAAGGCCCCAAAAACCAGAGCCCGAAGACCCGATCCCCCCGGCCTGCAAAGCCTCCGGGAACTCCCAGGCCGTGACGGCCAGGGGGCAGAGGCATCCTTGCAATAGGGGGGGGGGGGCGGGTACCTATACTTAGGGTACCTTTCAAATAGTTTTAATCTTTGGTAATTATAATCCCTGAGAAACAGCTAAAATAGTATAGTATAGTAGAAGCCAGAAAGTTGGAACATCATTATCCCCATGGCTTTAAGGTAAAGTATAAGGGATCCTGGCACTAGTCCTCCTAAAGCCATGTTCCAACTTTCTGGCTTCTACTATAAAGGTTCCTTTAACGGGCTCTTTCGGAAACGGTGTACCCTACTAGTAGGGTTTGAGGTTTAGGGGTTTAGGGGGCTACCTTACTTTGGGAGTTTCCGAAAACAGGGGGTACCTAAGGGCTCCTTTAACTACCCTTAACTAGGATGCCCAGTAACCTAGGAATAAAAAGGGCTCCCCTTCTGGTATTGGTTACCTTAATAAGGAACCGGGACTACAAAAAGGGAATAAGGGTACTAGTGGGCATCCTACTAAAAGGGTTACCAGAAGGGACGAGAAGGTTTCTTGTCCTGTGTGGTCCATTTATGGGAGTTTCTGAAAATTGGGGGTTACCCTATTAGGGTTTAATTAGGCACTTCAAGGGTTCAAGGTTTATGGGGGTAGCTAATTTTGGAGTCCTGATAATAAGGATCCTACGACTTAGGGTATCATATTATTAGGGTCTCCTATTTTCGGAACTCACATCTCTGTGGGATGCTGCTGTGTCTAGAAATGCATGGTTCCGCCGCTGCACGAACACAAATGACCAGTCGCGAAAGCACGCACAGCGATGCGAACACACGAACAGCCCCGTGAGCACATTAACAGCCGCGCGAAAATGCGAATGGCCGCCTTCGCCCTTGCAAAAGGGGAGAGAATCGAGCAACGACCCGGTCCAGGAAAACTGCGAGAAACAGCTGGAGCCCAGCCGAGTCCTGTCGCCGAATGGCTGGCCTGAAGAAGCATGCGCCCAGACCCGTTCGTGAAGTGGACTGCACCGACAAAACAACTTGGTCGAGGGCCGCACACAGACCAGCAAAGTGCTAAGGAATGCTATATTAGCAGCATCTCGGAACTGCTTCGAAGGCACGGTGAAGGAGCCTACACTCATCATCGTGCTACCGGCTCAATGCAACGAGCAGGCAGCAGTGGGACAACTCTAGCGGGGAAGTGTGGAATGGATTTTCCCCATGTGGTTGGGCCAATACAACTTCACGGCTCATGTCCCATGTGATTTGTCCCCCTCAGCCTTTCACCATTTCACCGGTCTCTCTATTACCCGTAATTATATCGTAAGGACCCTTGTCTTGCAGGGGATCAAACTGATTGGTCAAGGGTGATCTGGTTTATGGGTTCAGGTATCATACGTGCACCGAAATTTTGACGTCGTGAATTGATGTCGTGATACAACACGTGTGTGCGTGTGTCTTTGTAAACATCTATAATATATATATATATATATATATATATACATGTATATACAGACACACACACACATACATATTATCATATACTGTATATGGATGTGTATACGTATGTAAGTAAGTAGGTATGTATGTATGCATCTATGCATGTTTGTACCGATGTACTTATGCATGCATGTATGCATGGTTCAATATCGTGCCGAAGAAAGTTAAACAGTCACGATGGTAATACTATGTACCCTCACAACATGAGTTTGTGTCGAGTCTAAGCAAGGGGTGGGCTTCAGCAGTTGGGGTTATGTATAATTCCTGGGTTTAGGGTCTCGGGCTCAACCCAGGTGGCGAATTGGACAGCTCAGAGCAGCTGGTAAAGTACGTCCATCGTCGAAACCCAAAACCCCTGCCCTTTAAACCCTGAACGCCGACCCCCAAAACCCCAAACCCCAAAACCGCTGCCAATGTGTGCCCGGACCCCCCCCCCGGCCCTCACCGCCTTACCACCCCCACCACTCTCACCGCCCCCTACCGCATCCACCACCCACACCGCCCTCACCGCCACCATCCACGCTGCCGCTCTGCGTACTTTGAGGTGTTCAGCACGGACCCTCATGCTGTAATTACTGCGTATTTTGAGGTGTGTAAAGAGTATTTAAAGGCTGTCAATGCGTACCCGAACCCCGTACTGCGTAATTTGAGGTGTTTAAAGAGTATTTAAAAGCTGCCAATGCGTGCCCGGACCCCCCCGCGCCCTCACCACCCTCACCGCCCCCACCGCCCCCACCACCCACACCGCCCTCACCGCCGCCACCATCCACGCTGCTGTTCTGGGTATTTTGAGGTGTTTAGCCGGACCCTCCCCGTGCCCTGACCACTGCCCCCACCGCGGCCACCACCACGCTGCCGTACTGTGTATTTTGAGTGCTGTGCTGCGTATTTTCAGGTGTTTCAAGAGTGGAAAAGGCTGCCAATGCGTGCCCTCACGCCCTCACCACCCCACCACTCTCACCGCCCCCACCGCCCCACCACCCACACCGCTCTCACCGCCGCCACCATCCACGCTGCCGTTCTGGGTATTTTGAGGTATTCAGCAGTACATAACAATGGAGAAAAGCAATATATACTCATGATTATACATATATATATATATATATAAATGTGAAACACATAGAAACGTATATAATGCTTATTCGATTCATACATACATATAACACATGTTATAGTGTATATAGCTCGCACATAGTCGATCTCTCTCTTTCTCTCTGTATATATGTTTCTCTCTCTCTCTCTCTCTCTCTATATATATATATATATATGCATATATAAGATGTATAGTGGATCGGATCGCACACACTATAGACTATAAGCTTATTTTACACATAACCCTCCACTGCAAAGCACCTTTTTCTTCACCCATACAGCAAGCATGTGGTCGTTGCTTTCACGAGACATCGGATGGGAAGCTAGCTAGCTGGTGCCACAGTGCACATGTGCACACACAGAGATATGGTAGATGCTACATCTCTTTAAAATATATGTGTATAGAGAGGTTGCTGGATGTCTCCCCCGCTAGACACTGAACACGACGGCATGTGTCTTACCTTTTACCTGTCTGTCTCCCAAGACCTCCTGCGTGAGATTATCTTTGCTGCATAAAGCACACATGGTCACCAGCTAGTCAGCCTCCCTTGAGTCTCCATTCACAGTGCATCTTAAAAGCAAGGATAAGAGCATGCTGCATGCCAAAGTCCCTGCGCCAGGAGCCAGAGCCTGTAGCATGGACTACATGCATACCGAATTCTGGTTTAATTTTGGAGAGGGGGGGAGGGGGAGGGGGGGAGGAGGCATAGCCTGAAACATGTCCAGGTTGCAATCTGTACCCCTGGCCTTGATTCCGTAGGCCTCCACCATGACCTAGTCCAGCTCGGGCATGACATAGGAGTCATCGTCATCCTGCACATGTTGACTTCTGCAAGTTATATAGATATGTAATGTGTGTGTATATACATATATGTATATGTATGTATGTATGTATTACAAAAAAGGATATGTCATATTTCATTGAACACACATATATTATAAATATATGAATATATATATATATATATATATATACATACAGAAAGAGAGAGAGAGAGAGAGAGAGAGAGAGAGAGAGAGAGAGAGAGAGAGCACACACGAGTCGACAATCTTGTCTCACACAAGGGGAGATCCACATAGTATATGTGGTACAGGATAGAGCCATTAATGCATATTTGTATTGATTACATTATACATATATATATATATATATATATCACATGTACTGCAGCACAGCCAAACAATCTTCATGGCACACATATATATATATATATATATACATATTCACATATAATGCACGACTAAAGCACCGTGTATCTAAATCTTGTTCTCAAGTCGACGCTCCTCCTCTGAGTCCTCGGCTCGGGGCTCGTCCACGATGTAGTCCTCTTCATAGGGCCTAGAAGCAGTCCACTATCTATTATATATTTATGTTATATCTGTCTATATATATATATATATATATACGACATATATGTATAATGTATACATGTATGCACTGCAGCACAGCCGAACAGTCTTCATGATAAATAAATGAATGAATATATATATATATATATATACATATATATATAATATTCACAATACAAACAGCGTGTATCTATATCTTGTTCTCAGGTCGACCGCTCCTCATCTGACTCCTCATCTCGGGGCTGGACGACGATGTAGTCCTCTGCATAGGACCACATATAGAAGGAGTCCACTATGTGCATAGGACCATATATAGAAGGAGTCCACTATCTATCTATCTATCTGTATATATATATATATATATAGTAAACATTCGACAGAAGTACTGGACTCCTGCAGCGGCGGGTCTTGCACAGTCATTCGAGAGATCGCGTTGATGATCGTCTCGCAGGCTTCGCGATCGTGACCACAGAAAGCGAGCGCCATGAGGTCATCCATGATGGGGTAGGGCCCCTCAGATGAGCTTTGATATTACATATCTATATATATATATATATATATGTATATACATGATTATCAAAATATATATATATATATATATATATATGGTACCCCCCCCCCCCCCCCATTGACCTACCCTTTTTGGTCTTTTTGAAAGGCAAGGGTGGGTCGGGGCGGGGTGTACCCGAATGGAGCGGCGTTCCCAAAGACCTAGTTTCTTAATTTCGGAGGTCGAGGGAGACTGTATCCAAAACCAAAAAAATTCAGGCCTCGCAGCACCTTGGAACTCTGGGCGCTGCAAAACACTGAGAGGCCTCAATCTTTTGGAATCCCGAACCTCAGACAAATTGAGGCCTCTCAGTGTTTTGCAGCTTCCAGATTCCAAAACACTGAGAGGCCTCAATCTTTTTATGGTTTTGAAGCCAAAACGCTGGGAGGCACCAAAAGACTCAAAAGACTCAATCTTTTGGAGGTTTTGGGAAACTATAACCAAAATCAGAAAAATTGAGGCCTCTCAGTGTTTTGCAGCTTCCAGATTCCAAAACACTGAGAGGCCTCAATCTTTTGGAATCCCGAACCTCAGAAAAATTGAGGCCTCTCAATGTTTTGCAGCTTCCAGATTCCAAAACATTGAGAGGCCTCAATCTTTTGGAATCCCGAACCTCAGAAAAATTGAGGCCTCTCAGTGTTTTGCAGCTTCCAGATTCCAAAACACTGAGAGGCCTCAATCTTTTGGAATCCCGAACCTCAGAAAAATTGAAGCCTCTCAGTGTTTTGCAGCTTCCAGATTCCAAAACAGTGAGAGGCTTCAATCTTTTGGAATCCCGAACCTCAGAAAAAATGAGGCCTCTCAGTGTTTTGCAGCTTCCAGATTCCAAAACACTGAGAGGCCTCAATCTTTTGGAATCCCGAACCTCAGAAAAATTGAAGCCTCTCAGTGTTTTGCAGCTTCCAGATTCCAAAACACTGAGAGGCCTCAATCTTATTGATTTTAAGGCTAGTTTCCCAAGGCCTCCAAAAGATTGAGTCTTTTGAGTCTTTTGGGGCCTCCCAGCGTTTTGGCTTCAAAATCATAAAAAGATTGAGGCCTCTCAGTGTTTTGGAACTCCCACAGTCCCAAAGTGCTGAGAGGCCTCAATCTTTTTGAGTCTTGAATCTCAAAAAGATTGGGGCCGCTCCAGGTTTTGCAGCTCTCACAGTTCCAAAGTGCTGAGAAGCCTCAATCTTTTGGAGTCTTGAACTTCGGGCCGAGAATATCTGGCCACATTAGTTTTCTGCTTCTGCTGCCAGTGTATTTTTGTTTGTTTGGGGCCCTGGGCCCTGTTACTCTGTTACTCTCATACTCTTATACTCTATGACTCTATTACTCTATTACCCTATGACTCTATTACTCTCTTACTCCAAAAGCTCTATTACTCTATTACTCTAGTAATCTATTAGCCTATTACTCTGTTACTCGATTACTCTATTACTCTATTATTCTCTTACTCTATTACTCTATTACTCTATTACTCAAATACTCTATTACTCTATTACTCTATGACCCTATTACTCTTATACTCTCACTCTATTACTCTATTACTCGATTACTCGATTACTCTATTACTCTATTACTCTATTACTCTATTACTCTATTACTCTATTACTCTATTACTCTAATACTCTATTACTCTATTACTCTACTACTCCACTAACTCTATTTATGACTCTATTACTCTATCTACTTTATTTCCTCTATGACTCTATGACTCTATTACTCTGCTACTACCCCTACTCCTACTACTACTACTACTAATACTGCTATTGCTACTGTTACTGCTACTGCTTTACTATTACTATGCAGCACTATTACTATTACCATTACTATTACTATTTCTATTACCATTGCCAATGCATAAAGTCATGGAGCAAAGCCTGCGGGTCACGCGCTTCGCGCGCACTGTTTCTTGTACTATTACTCTTTCTTTATTACTCTATTGCTATTGCTCTATTGGTCTATTGCTCTATTGCTCTATTGCTTTATTGCTTTGTTACCTTATTACTCTATTAGTCCTTTCGTCTTTTAGTCTGTTCAGTTTGTTTAGTCTATTAGTCTATTAGTCTATTAGTCTACTAGTCGATAAGTCTATTCGTTTATTCGTCTATTAGTACTATTACTATTACTTCTACTATTACTATTACTCTTACTATTACTATTACTTTTACTATTACTATGCAGCACTATTACTATTACCATTACTATTACTATTACCATTACCAATGCATAAAGTCATGGAGCAAAGCCTGCGGGTCACGCGCTTCGCGCGCACTGTTTCTTGTACTATTACTCTTTCTTTATTACTCTATTGCTATTGCTCTATTGCTCTATTGCTCTATTGCTTTATTGCTTTGTTACTTTATTACTCTATTAGTCTTTTCGTCTTTTAGTCTGTTTAGTTTGTTTAGTCTATTAGTCTATTAGTCTATTAGTCTATTAGTCTACTAGTCTATTCGTCTATTCGTCTATTAGTCTACTAGTCTATTCGTCAATTCGTCTATTAGTCTATTAGTCTATTAGTCTATTATTAGTCTACTAGTCTATTCTGTCTATTAGTCTATTCGTCTATTAGTCTATGACTGTATTACTCCACTACTCTTTACTATTACCAGTACTAGTACTATCTATAACAAACACGCGAAAAAAAGCCACAGGTGCAAAAAACAATGGCGACAAAAATAGGCCCTCCCTTGTCCATGCATCATTGCCACTCATTGCTCCTGAGACCCCCAACAAAGGCAGGTCAATGGGGGGGGGGGTAGCATATATATATATATATATATATATATATATGCTATATATGTATGTTATATATATATATACATATGTATATTACATATATTCTCGTGCAAAACTCATTTTGGGACAAGCCACACCCAGGCAAGTCTGCAGACGGTAGTGGAACTTCCCCTGGTAGTAGAGGCGCCTTACACCGCCGTCCGTCCAGCCTGACGTGTGTATATGATATATATATATATATATATATATATATATATATACACATAGATGCAAAAAAACAAACAAAAAGTACATACACGTATATATATATATATATATGTGTGTGTGTGTGTATGTCTATATTGATTATACATATGTATATATATATATATATATATGTATGTATGTATGTATATACGCATAGGTTATAGAGGTGCAAATATTAAGTATATATATATATATATGTTTCTTTCTCTGTGTTCTACAGACAAAAAAACACACACACGCACCAAAGCAGGAACCGTCTCGCCTATCCTCCCACTTGAGCCGTATGTCTCGCAGGGTAGCCTCTTCGGTGCACCGAAAGTTTCCAGCGAGATGACGAAGCGGTCCGCCGCCGGGGCGAAGATAACCTCCCAGTGGCCACAGTTGTCCTCGAGGATTGGTGTTCCCGAACGTGTGTTTGGGGTTTAGCTTTTAGGGCTTAGGGATTAGGGTTGGGGTATGTATATATATATATATATATATATATAGATAGATAGCTCTACATTAAGAATATTAACCTTTATATGTATATATAGACTTATTCCGTGCAGGCAATTGGCGGGTGTGGCGAAAAAAGGAGACTTTCCTCTCCCCACCCCGCCACAGAAACAGCCTTTCTTCCCTGGAGCCGTGCATGTACCGGAAGGTGTAGACGTCCCCGTCGTACATCATGGCTTTGGCGAAGGACTATTTTATTATACAGCATTGTTTTCAAAGTTTTCGCCATGCAAGTGCAGACCGATGGATCTGTTTCAAACATATTATCATGTTAGGTATGCTTAGCATGCAGACATGCTCGAGATAGAGTTATCGCCATGCAAGTTCAGACCGATCGATCCGTTTTGTAAGCATAATATCATGTTAGTTATGCCTTCGCATGCAGACATGCTCGAGATAGAAAAAGAACGGCGGGGCACATGTGTCGTGGCTTCAAGACAGTTGATAATATATATATATATATATATATATATATATAGGGATCTTATGTAAACATGTATAACATATAGATTTATATAGAATATAAATAAATATATTTACATATATTTACATATATATATATATATATATATTATATACTTATGGGAACCTCTGAATGGTAGCAGGCGGCAGGGGCCGGGGGCAACAGCGGCTCAGAGTTGACCGAGAAGGCAGTGACAGGAACCCCAAACCCCAAAGTGACCCCTAGCCACGAAACCTTTCAAGGCTGAGCCGGGACAGAGTTGGCACGACAAGCCACCCCCAAATGTCCAGTCCTCTCTGAAAGCCCAGATACCTGTGGAATGGATACTACCCTGAACCCTCAACGGCCCTGAAATAGGCCATATGGGAGTTTCCGAAAATTGGGGGTACCCTACTTTTGGGTCCTTATAATAAGGATCCTAGTATTTAGGGTATTATATTAGGGTCCCCTGTTTTCAGAAACTCCCGTATACCCTCAACCTTACTGAACCCTCCTCTGGCTATATACCCTAAACCCTGAACCCGACTATAGTTTGTTAGGAAGACACGTAACTTCTGGGACTTGGTCACGTCCCAGGAAAGCCCTCCTCCTTGCATCCTAGCATCCATGCAATGTCGGCAAAGCCCTCGGCCACTCCTTGTAGTAGATCATGCCAGAGTTAAACCTTCTGTTTCAAGGCTTGTGGGTCCTAGTGGTTAAGGGTTTACGGTTTAGGTACCTAGGTCTAGGTATTAAGGGCTTATATGGTTGACGTTTATTCAGGGAAGTGATTTCGACTGTGGCGCTGGGGGCATCTGAGAGTTTGCGGGATAGAACGAAGATTGAAATGAAGAGAATGATGACAGCCTGCCTGGTGTCGAAAGCCGTCTAACGCATATCTGTATGTTTCATGCGGTGGCCAATGCCACTAGAGACCCGTTCGAAAGTGGACTGTTATTGACCTTCCGCAGTACTGCCCAAGCAATGGCATCAACTTTTCTGAAGTCATTTTCCAGAGCGATGGCTTGCTTCAATTAAGTCCTGTAGGGACCCTTAGGGGGAGGGGGGGACGGGGGTATAGGACTATATTTCTCTTGTTAGTTCTTTTATGTCCTTGTTATGGGCATTAAGGCCCCCTACCCCCCTCCCCCTACCCCCCAAAGGGTCCCTTTGTGTCTACGGCATTGCATTGCTTGGCCTTCGCCTTCATGTGCTTTGCCAAGTTGGCAATCAGATGAATTCAGCGACGATAAGCAACTTGACAAGTCTGATTGAACGGTCAGCTGAAGCCCATTCTGAGAGGGTGAGTACCCAAGCCCAAAGAAGGTCAACCTGTAAGCTTTTGGTAGGCTCATGTTCACCCCCAAACGTTAAAGGTGGTCTACACCCCTACTAAGCATATATTAATCTGTATACATACATACATGCATACATACATACATACTTCTGTATATATATATATATATATGTATATGTATATGTATATGTATATGTATGTGTATGTGTATGTTATTTGTATGTGTATGTGTATATGTATATGTATATGTATATGTATACGTATACGTATAGGTATAGGTATAGGCATAGGTATAGGTATAGGTATAGGTATATGTATATGTACATGTACATGTATATGTATATGTATATGTATGTGTATATATATATATACACATAATTATATATATATATATATATATATATATATATATATATATATATGTGTGTGTGTGTGTCCATATGTTGTTTTCTGAAACTCTGAGAGGGCAGCTCAGGAACGCTACAGCAACATCCAGCGGCTTCAACTCCTCCGGGCTCAGGTCCTGGAGCTTAGCTTGGCAGGCTATTGTGGGCCTCCGAAGTTTCGGGTCTTGGGGTCCCTTTAAAGGAGTCTATAGGGCGCAGTTACTTAAGGGTTCCCATAAGGGTTACTATTGGGTTTAGGGGTTTTAGGCGTTTTAGGGCTTTCAGGGGTTCAGGGTCTTGGAGTGTAGCTGGGAAGGTTCTTTGGGGGTTTCAGGGTTTTTGTTGGGGTTTTGGGGCTCCTTAAAGGAATCTACAGGGGTTTCTATAAGGGTACTATCAGGGTTCAGGGTTTAGGGGTTCAGGGTTTCAGGGGGTTTTCAGGTTTTGGGGATTAGGGTTCCTTTGAAGCTAAGGGGTTTAATAGGGGTTACTATAAGGGTTCTTACAGGGGTTGTCATACAGTTTCAGGGAGTTTAGGCTTTTGGTTTAGGCTTTTTTGGTTTAGGGTTTAGGGCGTTCGAGGTCGAGGGCTTTTGAGACTTTGGGATTTATTGCGGAACTTGGGGGCTTTAGGGTTTCTGTAGAATTTTGTGGGTCAGCATGACAGTCACCAGATCTCCTTTGCATTTTGCTGCTTCGAGAATTCGACGACGATGGCCTCCAGCTGATCCACTACCAGGATAGCAACGACCCGAAACATACATTGCTGTTGAAGGCCTGACTAATTTCCCTGACTAATTTCGAGCTTCTTCATCCCGCACTACGGCTACATTAATCACAACAGCCCAAAAAACCCTGCTCTTATTTTATCGAGGCCCTTGTACCCTCATGCCGAAACCCTAAACCCCTGAACCGTAAACAACAATAAACCCCTAAACACAGAACCCCTAGAACCTTAACCCCGAAATCATATTCGGGATCCTACGACCACCTAACGTATTAACCCAGACCCCCTAAACCCTAAACCCCTAAACCCTAAACCCTAAACCCCTAAACTCTAAACCCCTAAACCCTAAACCCTAAACCCCTAAACCCTAAACCCTAAACCCTAATCCCTTAAGCCCTAAACCCTCAAGTTCCCTCGAAACTCTCCTGCAGATGTGCTCTCCGGCAGCAGACTGAAACTCCTCCCTGGGACCACGACGCGTCGGCGAGGAAAGGGCCCACTAGGACCTGGGAAGGGCTTATACTGGGCTCTTGTTAAGGAGTTTTTAATTTTAATTTACGATACCATAATAAGGACCTATAGTAAATATTATGGTTTCTTTATGATGGTAACCATAATAAGGGCCTACAGTAAATATTAGGGTTTCTTCGTTATGGTAGCTTAACTTAAATCCCTTTGCAAGAACCCAGCATTCCATTGCCAGGTCAGCGTTAAGGTTCGGGGCTTCAGGTGGGGGCTTTCGGGGTTTAGGGTTACTGTACTAGGATACCCAGTAACCTAAGAATAAAAAGGCCTCTCTTTTTGGTATTGGGTAACTTTATAAGGAACCTAGGACTACAAAAAGGGAATAAGGGTGTACCCTAAGGCCCCAAAGTAGTTCCTTTTGGGGGTTCGTATAAAGAATCCTATTAGGTAATCCCCAAAAGGAACTACTTTGGGGCCTATGGGTAGTATCTCTTTGGTTTCGGGCTTGATGGTGGGGACCCGAATATGGTAAACCCCCGTAAGGTACTACAGTCCAGGTTCTAGGCTCGTGCATTTCAATGCTACGCCGAGCCCTGAACCCCACGGCTCAGACAGAATTGGGGCTGTTCGTTGTGCGGGAGCTGGGTTGGTGAAGTTCTCCGGCTTGGGTTGTAACAGCGTCTGGGGCTCTATCCTTGCTTTGGGAACTGCCCAGCCAGGTATGCCGTTATGGACCGGGGAAGATTATGCATTAAGACTTCCCCGAAAAAAACCTGCAAGCAAGACGGGATAGAGTCATCAGCGCCGGCTGAGGAAGTGCATGCTCGGGCTTTGTCCTAGATACCTGTGGCATGTCAGCTTGAACCCCAAAACCCAATCAGTTATAAACCCTAAACGCGTAAACCCGAAATCCTGCAACGAGTAAACCCAACCCTTAACCTGTATCACTGTATCACACTCCTATAACACAACCCTCCTTAGAGAAGCCCCGACAGGAAGGCTTCATGCAATCCTAAACGAATCCTAAACCCGCAAGCCCTAAGCTTGCACAAAACCCTTACACTACTGTGCCAGCCACAATGGAAACCCTTCCATTACCGCGAAAGCGCTTGCCCTTGGACCTTAGAAACCCAAGAGCGATTCTGGGAGTTTCCGGAAATTGGGGGTACCTGATATGGGGGTCCCTGTAATAAGGATCCTACTATTTAGGGTATCATATTAGGGTCCCCCATTTTTTGGAAACCACCATTCTCGTAAAATTCAGCACAGGAGCCAGCTCCAGGGTCCCAGAAAGGTGAGGCAGCAGCTCCTCCCACGGAGCATCGGCTTCATTATCCTCGGCCGAGGCTTTGTAAGCTTGCCTGGCTTGCCTTTAAGGGCTCCGCGAACTACAGGAGTCCTATTATGATTAAATTGTATGGCTTGCGACGATACTACAAGCTTCCTTTAGGGATTCTAGGACTTTATTGTCTTATCCTGGGCCGCAGGGGGCTTTGTTCGTTTAGGGGTGACTTGAAGCGCAAGGGTCCGTATCATACTAGGGGCTACTACAGGGCTTCAACATCCTGGGCTTGAAGGCTAAGGGCTGTTCAGCGATCTAAACTAGACTAGGGTTTAGGATTTCAAGGCTTCAGTGTCTTCGGGATATAGAGTATCATGGTTTCAGTGAACAGAGGCCCAGGGTTTCCAGAACTTTAGGGATTTAGGGCGTTTTGGGAAACCTTAGGGTGTGAGGCTTAAGAGCATCCTGGGACGGAGGTCGTTTTGGCAAGGGCTCCATTCTTTGTAGAAGTGTTTCCTGTATTGCTTGTATAAAGTTGTTGGCTCGTTTCGGCTTCTTGTTTATTCACACTGTACAGTTATCCTGGGCCGAGGAACGACGCTCCCCCTTTCCTTCGTGGTACTCTCATACTTAAAGGATCATGGGACTTAGTAAGTAGGGTTATAAGTAAAGTAACTACAGTTATAATTACTTATAACCCCAACTAAGGTTCTTATAACCCTATTTACTAAGTCCCATGATCCTCTAAGTATTCCCGGCCCGAAGCTGTTGGGTGTTTCCTTAGGGCTCCAGGAGGGTTTGAAGTTTCAATGCTGCAGGGATCAAGAATACAACTTGATCTCTAGAGTAGGGTCCCTAATATGACTTATATAAGGCATCTATTCCCTGATTAAAGGATACTGGAGTCCCTGGGGGCTTTGATTTGGTTAAGAAGGCTATGCTTTTGATGCTCAGCTTATAGTGGTTAAGTTTCACTCTCCCCGGCCGAACCGGCTGGCTTTTCGGCCGCAGGGGTTTTGTGGTTGTTAGCGGTTTACGGTTTGGGGTCTAGGGTTTCGGGTTGCCCACAGTCACGGCTGCCGCGCGCCCGAGATGGATCCGCAAGACAGCCAACAAACCCTAAACCCTAAACTCCCTCGACCTAAAGACCCATATAGGCCCATTGGAGTTTCTTTTGGGGTTACCTTAGAGGATTCTAGATATGAACCCCAAAAAGGAACTACTATGAGGCTGATGGGTAAACACCAAAGAATCCTCCTTGGCAGACAAGGAGCAGCACCAACCAGGAGGACCCTTATTGCACGCTGAACCTCACATCGAGCCGGAATCTGTGGCTAGGTTTATGGGCTTAGGGTTTAGAAGTTGCAGGGTTTAGGGTCTTTGGGGCTTAGGATTATAGGTGTTTGCGTTAGTTAGGGTTTAGGGCTTGTGGCTTCAGGATTATAGACACTTGGGTCTAGGGCTTGTAGGTATTTGGGTCTCCGGTCTTTCTTCAAGGTGGGGTTGAGGGTTTTGGGTTTAGTTCACATAGTGGGAGAGACGCTACGACTTGAGCATGCTACAGCCAGCATTTCGCCCCCCAAGAGTTGGTGCCTCTCGTAAGCCGAGCAAGTCCAACAACCACAGGAGGGTCAACGTCGAACCTTGGTTCTGCGACGATTCAGCGATCATTGCTTCGGCTTGGGCATGTTGGAATGGAACTGCTCATAATACCTGAAAGCGCCTGCGCAGACAAGCGACTTTAGGCTCATAGTATAGGGTTTGAGGTTTCGGGTTCATGGTTTCAAGGCCCAGGTCAGGGCATCAGAGGCTCCGAACTTCACGGCTAAGTCGGCCTAGCGGCTGAGCGACTCCGTCAGCAGAAGGCCTTGGAGAAGGTACAGAGCTTGAGGATGCTCCCCAGAGAGCCCAATACCCCTTAATTAAACAATATACCTTAAACTATAAGGGGCTTCATATTATGATTTAAACTATATTCCTTAATTAAGGGGTATTGGGCTCTCTGGGTTGAGGTGTGACCTGGAGATCCAGGCCCTCAAAGGTCAAGACAGTGGACTGTGACTCTGAACCACTGAACACGGATCGTGCCTGAACAGATACCGAGATCTGGTGGCTCTGGACTTAGCTGATAGACCAGTCAGTGGCTGATGCTTCGAGTTGGGGGTCAGGGGCCGACCAGAGGTCCGGGATGATAAGTGCCAGCACATCCTGATGAACAGACGTCTGACATGAAAGGCATCGACTTCTCCATGACAGGCAAACGTCGCCAGAATCACTTTCGCAGTCCTGATATCGCTAGCCTGTTCATGCCAAACTCCTTGTAGCCCCTGCAGTTGGAACGGACGTGAGAGGAGAGTATCCGAGCCGCAGTCAGGCAAATCAGCCAGGCAAACAAGGACTGCTTATGGCTAACAAGCAGTACACGCCCAATCAGGACATGCCCAGTTCATAGATGAGAGTTTCAAGAGACCTTTAATTTGAGGCACACAATTCTCAGAAATCCTCCCCATACCCGAATGCCAACTTCATGAATGGCAGTTTCAGAAGATTCTTATACAATATGAAGCACAATATTCACAGAAATCCCCCATACCCGAATCCTCAACTGTGACAAGCCCATGCTGTAAAACCGATTTCTTCGCGAGCTGCACGGTGCAACGCTCAGGAGCACTAAAGCCTCATCGTCTTTGTCACCCAGCCAATGCAGAAGGGCGTGTCATACTATAGGGGCCTCAATAATTAGAGTAGAGCTTTGGGGCCCATCATACTATAATTCAAAAACAAGGAACCCCCAAAATAGTATAGGTAGTTAATAAGGCCCCTAGAGTAGACAGTCAAGCTTTGGCATGTCATCAGCACTCCCAAAATTTCAAAATCCTAAACCCAAAACCCAAAACCCTAAACTTGAATCTTCCAGCGATCCTGCGAGCGGACATGTCGGAAGCCTCACAAGGTGGGATGAAGGTAGGTGGGATTAAGGATCCCTTATATAAGGACTCTTATCTGGGAATATCCCACCTACCTTCATCCTACCTCTTGAGGCCCCCGAATATGGAAGTCCCCGGTTTTTATGAGGGGCGAGCAGCGTTCGAGTGCGGAAGCCGACGGGAAGCGCGCCTGCACAGAGACAAGAGGCCAGACATGCACCCAGAGAGCCCAATACCCCTTAATTAAGGAATATAGCTTAAATCATAATATGAAGCCCCTTATAATTTAAGGTATATTGCTTAATTAAGGGGTATACAGGTCTTACCTTTGGTTAGTAGGGCATGGAAGAATGGTAGTAATAGTAGCTATAGTTGTACCCCATTCCTTCATTCCCTACTAACCAAAGGTAAGAAGTGATGCAATACCAGGCATAATGCCGCTACCATGCGAACTACAATAAAACGAACAACGGCATCCCTGTCTGCTGAGAATGATATCAGCAGCAGCAGCTGTGGCAGCAGTGTGGCGGCGGCGAAAGTGATGTGGTATTGGCAACGATAATGGCAAGGCACAGTGTTGTAGTGGCAACGCAGTGGTAGAAGTAGTGATAGTAGTAGTAGTAGTAGTAGTAGTAGTAGTAGTAGTAGTAGTAGTAGTAGTAGTAGGAGTAGTAGTAGTAGTAGGAGTAGTAGGAGTAGTAGGAGTAGTAGTAGTAGTAGTAGTAGTAGTAGTAGTCGTCGGAGTAGGAGTAGTAGGAGTAGTAGGAGTAGTAGGAGTAGTAGGAGTAGTAGTAGTAGTAGTAGTAGCAGAAGCAGTAGTAGTAGTGGTGGTAGTTGTAGTCGTCGTCGTGGCAGCAGCCGGAGTGCTAGTCGTCGTCGTGATCGTAGTCGCAGTCGTGGTCTTAGCAGTAGCAGTGGGAGTAGGAGGAGTAGGAGTAGGAGTACTCCTGGAGTAGGAGGAGTAGTAGTCGTCGTAGTAGTGTGAATAGTAGTAGCAGCAGTAGCACAGCAGCAGTAGCAGCAGGAGTAGGAGAAGGAGTAGGATTAGCGGTAGGAGTAGAAGTAGACGTAGTATTGGCAGAAGGAGCAGCAGCAACAGCAGCAGCAGCAGTGGTAGTAGCCGTCGTCGTAGCAATGTATAGCAGTCGCGGTCGTCGAAGCAGTAGCTTACAGGTACGACTAAACAAAGGTCAGCCCTTGCTAAGTGGAAGGTTTCAGAAAGGTTTAGGCAACAATGTTCAGAAGGTCCTTGTAATGTCATATAAGAGCCCCTCATGTTCTGTAACGGTATCCCCAAAACAAGACCCCTCAAAGTAACCCTACTTCAATTGTTCAGTCCCCTACATTCCACCCCCCCCATAACCCCAGGCTGCATTGCAGTTCCCTTTTGTAAGCCCAAAAAGGATCTACTATGGATCCTATGGACAAGCTCCACAGTCACACCTCGAAGAAGTCCGGCCAGCATTTTGGCAGCTGGGGGGCTTTCGCGGCAGAAGGCGCCGTGTACGGCGTCAGTGGCGATCCTAGATGGGAGTTTCCGAAAATAGGGGACCCTAGTATAGTGCCCTAAACAGTAGGATCCTTATTATAATGACACCAAAACAAGGTACCCCTAATTTTCGGAAACTTCCACATAGGTGTGTGGGGTTAAGGCTCGTGAGGTTTAGGGGTTTCAGGGTTTGGTTCAGGGTTTCAAGGTTTAGGGACTGTTGATGTCCTTCTCACTCCCTGCTCTGTCATCCAAGCGTCGTCGTGCGAGCTCCTGCCACACCAATGCCTTCCAAGGTTCATGGAAGCTTCACCGAAAACCCTAAAAAAACCCTGAACCTAAACCCTGAACCCTGAACCGAAGACCCCAACCCTTGACCCTCAACCGTTTCAGATATGTGCTGCTTACATCGGGAGCTTTGCGCGCGGCTTTGTGGACTTGTGCAAGATGGCACAGACCCAGAGAGCCCAATACACCTTCATTCAGGAATATATCTTAAATCATACTATGAAGCCCCTTATAATTTCAGGTATATTAAACCCTAAACCCTATAGATCCCTTATAGATCCCTTAAAGGAACCCTAACTATTCCTTAACTAAGGGGTATTGGGCTCTCTGGGGAGGACCTTTCTGAGTGGTTGGATCGGACCCAGGGGATGCCCAAAAAAACTCAGCTGCAAAGCTACTATTTGCTTAAGAACCCCCCCCCAAAAAAAAAAATATATATTCCTTATGGGGGGGTAATATATAGGGATTATTATTTTTTTTGGGTGTTTCTTAAGCAAATAGTAGAAAGCTTCGCAGTCTTTCCTACCACCATCACGAAGCCAGCGCTGTCTAGCTACCCTAAGGCCCCAAAGTAGTTCCGTTTGGGGGCTCGTATAAAGAATCCTATTAGGTAATGCCCAAAAGGAACTACTTCGGGGCCTATGGGTAGTATGTAGCAGAACTGGAGAAGCAGAGTTCGAACGTCCACTTAAGAGTCGTTCGAGGGCTACCGATATCTTATATACATCAGCGTCAAGCAGCGATTGAAAACTAAACACCCTGGTCTTGAAGCCCTCTCTGGAATGGTATTGTAAGCAGCACAAAAAGTGCTACGACCTTTTCGGGGACATCGGACGAAGGTGGGAGCACCACGAAGCTTGCAATGCTTGTCCTCTCCACCTCCAGCCCCCCTCCCAAACATGAAACACAAGCAAGAGCAGCTCTGACCGTGTACTTCAAAACATCAGCTGTATCCTTGAAGGACCCCGCATCTTAGTGCAGGCCTCTTGAAGTTTTCACAGTCTAGAATGCTGGGATGAACGCGCACACACACACACCCACACACGCATGCTACATGGTAAGTGTGCGGCTCCCATTCCACAGGCTTCTTGCTTCTTTAACTTGGTGTGCAGGGGGGGCAGGTTACATTCCATGCTCCCCTAAACCCTGAACCGTAAACCCTACCTTAACCCTGAATAACCTACCTTGTTAGGGTTCCTTATTATGATTTCTTATTATGTAAGTCCTTAAAATTGTAGGTCTTTCGGGGTTAAGGTAAGCCCTAAACTCTACAGTACTTGTGCCCTCGCCAGCAGGCCTCGTGCGGAAGGGCACACCACAGAAGTCGGGAAACAAGGAGTGGATAGCCTGAGGTGCCCAAAACAAACACCTAAACATAAGTTCTCTGAAGGTATTATTCGAAAGGTACAGTACGTGTTATACACGACGTTTCAATATGTATGTGACAGGTGGCTGAGTTCGTAGGGGAACGAAGCAAGCACAGGACGCACATCGAGGAGATTTAGAGTCATGACAAGGTTTGACTACATCAGATCGTCCTCCAGAGCAAATACCACTGGTCGACATATGGGAAACACTTTCGTGAAAGCGTTGACACAGGGCGACGCTTGCAATAAGTGGGTGCAGTTCTCCTGTGTACAGCCGTCAGAAACTCATAGGGTAAACTTTGCACAATCATAAGAACGTACGTAAACAAGACATAATGTGTCTATGCACGTCTACAGTCTACACCGCTTTGCTTGCACGCGTCTGTGCAAAGGGATTTCACCAGCCCCATACGACCCCAGTCGCGGCTTTGCGACTACAGGGGCAACTGCTTAGCACCTGCAGCATTCTGCAGTTGCAATGCTTGAGGGACCTTCGATGACACACAAAAGAACGATTGAATCCTTAGATGAGTAAGCGGCTCATTTTGCCAATGTCTGCAAGACCTGAACAATCGGGAAGTTTGGAGCTAAGAAAACTTCGATGGGGTTCTGGGTTGAGGGTTTAGGTTTTGGGGGACGCGGAACTGTGCCGTGATATGCCCGGCGCTGATACTTCAAGAGCTCGGAGCCTCTCACCTTCGGTCGCCCAGTCCTGACCAGTAAAGGCCAGGGCACACTCATCCACATGTATGGAAAAGAAGATAAGCCGGTCGATAGTGGCTGTGGCCAAGGGACACCAGAGGTTGTGGCGCGGAGCATCCATCTCTTGACACGTCCTTTGAAAGACTCACCTAAACCCTAAACCCTAAACCGCATGCACATCAGTGGAAATGGTAGCAGCCCGAAACCCGACCAACATCCACAGTCGATGTATACCTGACTCCCACCACCTGACTCTCATCACTTGAGGTGCGAAATAGGGCTTAGGGCTAAGAACCATGGTCACAATGATGGCAATGAAACAAGAGTAGCAGGGATAAGGACAATGCTAGAAGTAGTAGAAATGATAAGCATGGCCATGGTAGCAAGAGGAATGATGGTCATAATGAGAAATCACAACAACAGACTAACTGTGCTCTGAAGATGAGGTGCCTCCGATATGGCTTGCGAGTTTTACACGAAGGCTCAGGTACGAACCCCACGATGAAACAATACTGCAGCTGATGAAATGCAAGATGTGGGTTCGGTTAGGGCTGAGGGTTTAGAGACAGGGCTAGAAAACCCAAAACCTTAAACCCCGGGCCACTGCCAACACTACTGCACTACTATTCCCAATACCTCAGTTTCACCAAGTGTCTGACTGCAGTAGGCCGCTACCGAGCAATCCGCACACAGCTCCACCCCGCTGGTGGCGTGGCACCATTGACAATAGGGCCAGAGATGTATCTCTTCCTTCAAGCTCAACAGTCTGGGTTGTTATTCAGAAAGTAGTTGTTGAAATACAATGAGAAGCTCTCATATAGAAACTTCAATCCTATCTGAACAAGTATCTTCAATGCCAGGTCTTGAAACCGTCGTTGATCTCAGGCATGTTGTGCGGTTTAGTCCGAGGACACATGAACCGACCGGGTCAAGCTTGCCTGATGGACACCCTAAACCGTCCTGAAATCCCCAAACCCTAAAACCCTAACTAACCCCTGACTAACCCCTAGACCCTAAACCCTAGGCCATAAAACCTGAAACCCTAAAACCTAAACCCCCTAATCACAGCAGTATACCCCCCCTTAGAACCATAATACTCAGAATATCGTTAATATTCCCTCGGGCTTTGTATGAAGAAGCATGGAAAACAACTGTATAAGGAGACTATAGACCATTCAACCCTAAACCCTAAAACCCCACACCCTGAAACCCCTAATCCCTAAACTCCCTAATCACACCCTTCCTAGCCAAGGCGCAGGTTTACACTTTCCCCGATGTGGAGTGCAACGGCGATTCCTCGAGTCTTGCCCCGGCATCACAGCAACCGGTTTAGAGCTTAGGGTTTAGGGTTTAGAGTTTAGAGGTTCGTCTTGGTTTTAGGGCTTCTGGGGGTAGGGCTCCTGGATTATACGGGTTGCAGGATTCCAAGCAACTTTAGAGTCTTGGTTTGACGATGACAATGGTGCCGATGCTGATGATGACAATGACGGTTTTACATGCTGAGGCGGCAGGGGCGGGGGCGACACTGATGCTCGTGAAACCGATGATGACGATGAACGATGATGATGGTGATGACCACTGGGCCCATAAAAGTGATAGTTGTAGCAAGCGACACTCAGAATCGCTGACCTAACAGCTTCGAAGATATCTCCTGAAACTGAACCCAAAGCCAGCCCTAAACCGCCCTAAACCTCAGCCTCAACCTATTTCAGAAACCCCAAAACCCTAAACCCGCTGTATGCCAAGCATCATCTCCGCTTTGATGGATCCAAGTAGGATGGCCCTCGACCACGCCTTCTCTGACATCTCTCGAACTTCCGAAAGCGGTTGAGACAACTCCGAAGGAGAAATCCTGAAATTCAGCCTTCTACCGTGCATGACGACTGCAAGCCGCTGCAGTTTCATCCGGGCACGCCGCCGCATGCACTGAAAATAAGATTCCCTTGCCCTGGCTGGTTCCACAAAGTCAACCCGCCAAACTGTAAAATCAATGCAAACTTTATCTCGTGAGAAACAAACGTTGTGACAAAGATGCCTACATGCCACCAATCACCCTTCCTGAGTTGACTTGTGGTTCGGTTCGTGTTAAGTTAACCGTAAAGGGCGTCAGCAGTCTATTCTGATCGGGACTGCCAGAATCCCTAAGACTCCAAGTATACGAATAGTACCTACTTTGGGGTCTAAAGTCTGTAAATACTACCTACTTTGGGCTATTTGGAGTCTTAGGGAACGGATTCCCATCACCGAAAGGTCCGCTCAACGCGCAATCCACAACAGGTCGCACAGCACGGCCAGAACGGAATTGAAGGTTGCGATTCGGATTTGGTTCTTAGGTCATGGGCTATGTTGTTCAGGGTTGTTCAAGTGTTATGTGATGTTATGCAGCTAGGGTTTCGGATTTTGAGTTTGTGGCAATCCTGACTGATCCCCCTTCAGGAACTCTTTCCCTTCGGAACCCCCGGCTTCGGAGCACTGAGCCCACAGCTTTAAACACTCGACCGTACCTAAGCCCTAAATTCTTGTACCTTTCCATGGGATCACTCACTTCGCAAAAATAGCAGCGTCGTTACCTGCCAAACTCTCCAGAGCCTGAACTTCAGCTGCCCCTGGCACGTAAACCCTCGCCGAAGGGCTGGCCGAAGGCATCCCAGCGAGGTCCAAAGCTCCCCGAGCAGTGTAGCAGGATCCAAGAACATCCTGGTGCAAGATCATTTTTGGGGGCCTTGACAGTTAGAATTAGGTTCCATTAAAAGGGGGTCTATATAAGGGTTACTATAAGGGATCTATAAATGTAGGGGGCCTTAATAGTTAGAATAGGGTTCCTTTAAAGGGGGTCTATATAAGGGTTACTATAAGGGATCTATAAATGTAGGGGGCCTTAATAGTTAGAATAGGGTTCCTTTAAAGGGGGTCTATATAAGGGTTACTATAAGGGATCTATAAATGAGGGGGCCTTAATAGAGAGAATAAGGTTCCTTTAAAGGGGGTCTATATAAGGGTTACTATAAGGGATCTATAAATGTAGGGGCCTTAATAGTTAGAATAGGGTTCCTTTAAAGGGGGTCTATATAAGGGTTACTATAAGGGATCTATAAATGTAGGGGGCCTTAATAGTTAGAATAGGGTTCCTTTAAAGGGGGTCTATATAACGGTTACTAGAAGGGATCTATAAATGTAGGGGGCCTTAATAGTTAGAATAGGGTTCCTTTAAAAGGGGTCTATATAAGGGTTACTATAAGGGATCTATAAATGTAGGGGCCTTAATAGTTAGAATAGGGTTCCTTTAAAGGGGGTCTATATAAGGGTTACTATAAGGGATCTATAAATGTAGGGGGCCTTAATAGTTAGAATAGGGTTCCTTTAAAGGGGGTCTATATAAGGGTTACTATAAGGGATCTATAAATGTAGGGGGCCTTAATAGTTAGAATAGGGTTCCTTTAAAGGGGGTCTATATAAGGGTTACTATAAGGGATCTATAAATGTAGGGGGCCTTAATAGTTAGAATAGGGTTCCTTGAAAGGGGGTCTATATAAGGGTTACTATAAGGGATCTATAAATGTAGGGGGCCTTAATAGTTAGAATAGGGTTCCTTTAAAGGGGGTCTATATAAGGGTTACTATAAGGGATCTATAAATGTAGGGGGCCTTAATAGTTAGAATAGGGTTCCTTTAAAGGGGGTCTATATAAGGGTTACTATAAGGGATCTATAATGTAGGGGGCCTTAATAGTTAGAATAGGGTTCCTTTAAAGGGGGTCTATATAAGGGTTACTATAAGGGATCTATAAGTGTAGGGGGCCTTAATAGTTAGAATAGGGTTCCTTGAAAGGGGGTCTATATAAGGGTTACTATAAGGGATCTATAAATGTAGGGGCCTTACTTAATAGTTAGAATAGGGTTCCTTTAAAGGGGGTCTATATAAGGGTTACTCTAAGGGATCTATAAGGGTACTATACTGTGAGATAGGGACCTTAAAAATGAAACAGGGTTCGCGGTCTCCTGTGGCTCAATTATAACAAAGAGCCCTGCGGAATAAGATTTGTCAAAGAGGCGGCAAGACAGCTAGGACACCACGGAGGGTAACTAGGATACCGATTCCAAGGGTTTCTTTACCCAGTGACGGTCTATTGGTTTAAGGTTTGAAAAACCCAAAGCCTTAACAAAAAAACATTACACACCGCACACCCTAAACCACACCGTTTTCTTCAGAACCCCTCGTTATACAGAGCTCCTGGTGATGACCTGGCTGGCTTCCTCAAAGCTCAGCTGGTGGAGGTCGTGCCGCGTGGCCTCGTAGGTAGCTTCTTTGAGTTGGGTTTAGGGTTCAGTCAGGGTTTTAGGACATATTGGGCGCTTCCCAGGCTTTAGAATCTTGAGTTTTAGGGTCTTGCAGCTAGATGGATTACGAGTTTAGGTCTTTTAGGGTCTAGTTCTCGTCGTTTGTCTTTGTCAATTTGTTGTTGCGGCAGCTTTTACTTCTGGCGCTTGAGGATCGACAAGACTATACCAAGCACTCTCGAACTATGCAGTCACTTCAATAAATAAAGCATCAGGACTGCAACGAGTTGTCGGAAGTAGAAACATGCTCAGGCCCGTCTGATGCTTTCATGTACCTAGTTGGGTTCCTTAGTTACCTGGTATCGAGAGTACAAGCCGATGGTGTGTGAAGCTCGTGTTCTTTCGATTTGAGCGCCTTTTCTGGGCTGGTTTTTCGGTGTTTGAGGTCAAAACTCTACTAAGTCTTCTTCCCAGTAAGCTTCGTATTGTCTTGATGCATTGGATTCTTTGAGCATTTTTGACCCGGTGGGTACTTGTCTAGCTTGAATACGCGCCGCTCGCCGAATGTTAACGACAAACTCCGTCAGAAAGTCAGTTCCGCAACAGCAACTGCCTGCTTGGAGCCAGCGACGACGGGCAAACTCGGACCCTCACAGAGGAAGAAAGCTGAGGCCGTTTCAGGTTGAAGCACTTGTTAGGGTTTAGGGAGATTCTCAATACTCTTCAGAACTGCGGAGGCTGAGTTCGGGGGCGTAGGCTTAGAGACGGGAAGGGGTTCGAGGACGAAGACTCTCAGAGCCCAATACCTGAAGAATGGATGCCCGAGTCTCAACCATAACACCGTTCTACACAAGAGACCCTAGAACCCTAAACCCTAACACCAAAACAGAAAGCCCTGAAACCCTAAACCCTAAAACCCTAAAGCCCTAAACCCTAAAACCCCAAAACCCTAAAAGCCCTTAAAGGGTGATACGGAGTACTTCACTGTATGACGACCCGGTTCTTACTCGCCCGCTCCCACTGAAATGGCCCTATCGCCCTATCCCCTATCTGAACCCTTAGGGTTTTGGGGTTTGGGGTTCAGGGTTTAGGGGTTTAGGGGTTAGGGTTTGAGGCCCCTACATTTCGCCTATCCTTCACGCCCTCTGCCTCAGACCTCAAGCAACCCAAACCCCGAAACTGCAAACACACGGCCTGACCCTGGACCCTAAACCCTAAACCCTAAAACCCTACAAACTGAACCCCTAAACCCCCAAACCCTACCGCAGGCTGAAACTGGAAGGCCTCAAACCTAGAAACCAGCGGGAAATCCGGAGCAGCACCTCCACTGCCAGCAAGGTCTCGAGGAGTTCTTGAGCATGGGGATGTGCATCATAACCTCCCCATATTGAAACATTTAGGGCTTAGGCTGTTTAGGGTTTAGGGTTTCGGGGGGGGGGCTTGGGGCTTTGAATTTTGGGGGGTCGGAGGCTTTACAACCCAGCCAACATGGGAAGTTGTCAAAATTAGGTCCCTTTTTGGGGTACCTGAAATATTAGGTGCCGTATTGTATTATGGAGCCCAGAAAGGGACCCAAATTTTGATAACTACCCAACATGGTCTATAGTCTAGGGGCCTTAGTCCTGTTAGTAGGGTTTGGGGTTATAGTATACTATAGTTGTAATGAAGAACACCAAAATAGCATTATTTAGGACTCTATAGTGATGCCACCCAGAAAGTTGAGATAGGGACGACGACACTGCCAACGACGACAACAACCGTGACGACAATAGCAACAACGAAAAACCGCCGTGGTGGGCATCATCTCATCACCGTCACCATCATTGTAATCATCCAAAACAACATCATCTTCATCATCAATATCCTCATCCGTGTACGTGGTGCGCGGCTGGGCTGACAGGCCGGGCTTAATGGCAAATGAGGAAACCTGCTGCTGCTTGCAAACCTGAGCGAAGTCACACCACAACCGGATTGCACCTGGATCAGGTGCTTCCCTGGGTTTAGGGTTCAGGGTACAATCTCTGAACTCTAAGCTCTTCATGCCTTTTGCCTTAAGCCTCGAAGCAAAACACCTAGTGTAGCTCTAAACCTATAGAAGCCGTCCTACCCTAAGTCCAAAAATCAAAAGGCACGTGGCAACTCCCGAGCCCCAACGGCCTGTACCCAAAACTTTAAGCTGTAAACCCCCTTAAACCCTTAAGCCCAAAACTTTAAACCGTACCCTACCCTGAAGACCTGCACCCGAAACCCTAAACCTTAAACCCTAAAGTCTAAAACCGAAAAAAGACCTATACCCCTAAACCATGACAAACTCCGAAACCCCCAAACCTAAACCCCTAAGCCAGAAAGCTCTAAAACTCAAGCCACTCTCCTCTCCACATCAGCCTAAACCCTAAACCCTAAACCAAAACCCTAAACCGATCAGCCTTGGAAGCCGTTGGCGCGGCTCAGCGCTTCCATAGGGCAGGCCATGAGTAGGTTTAGGGCCTTTAGGGTTTAGGGTTTAGGGCTTAGTTTAGAAGCTCCCCCCCACCCTGTAATAGTGACTATAAGGATTCTATAAGGACCCTTTTATATTCCGATTATACCACTATTACAGGGTGGGGGCCCCTTCTAAGCTTTAGTGCTTTCGGGGGGTAGGGTTGCGGGACTTTTTGGGGCTCGGAAATTTTACAGTAGGGTTCCGGACCCTTTGGGCTATAGGATTGCAGGGGTTCAGGGTTTAGGGACGCTTTGGGTCTCACGGTTTACGTATACGGCTTGTAGGGCTTGAAGGCTTAAAGACAGGGTTTACGGCTCAGAGGGCATTGAAATTACGGGCTCTAGTGCGTTTACGCTGCATTGCTGGCTTGTCACAATGTCATGGGACTTTTTTGATCCTGTAGATGGTTTGACATGGTCTGAAATGTCTGCGTCCCTTCGGTTGAATAGTGTCCGAACATTTCTATGTTCAAGATTAGCCAAGCTATCTCACCCAAAGGGTCCATGACCCAAATACTATATACTTTGGCCCTAAAGTACCTATATAGGGACTAGTTTAAGGCCCATGTATATACTATGTAGCTAAATGGACCCTCAGGGTCAGTCAACATAAACATAGACTCTTAGACTCTTAGGTCCTGATGGCGATCCATGCATGCCATGCACCTAAACTCAAAGGGGAAAAGGAGGGACCCTTAATGGGGACCCCTACCCTATAATGGGCTATGTAATGGGTATATAATAGCTATATTAAGGGTATATACCTAGGGGTCCTTATTGAGGGTCCCTCCTTTTACCCTTAGATAAACCTAAACATGTGACCCTGACAAACCTATGTCTCTAAGTCCGTACCCGTTCCATGAGTGCCTGCCTTCTTGAGCTTTCTACAAACTTGTTGCGGCTCTGGGTTCAAGCTAAGCTGCCTGTATAACTAGGAGGGTTTTATACCATGAGCATCTTGCGAGGACCGTGTTTTCTTAAGATCCTACCCGTGATCTCAGAGTCTTCGTCGCAGTCCTGAAGCAGCGCGTTCATGGACCAGCCATCGCATAGTGCATTGTGCCTTCGATAGCGGCGACTATCGAAGGCAACCGAACAAGCTGGCACACTCTGCTCCAGGTTACGACTCCACTGTCCGAAAGGCTGTACCCGAAGCCAGCAAGCACTTGCAGCCTGTTATGCCTAACACCTTTTTACAACCCTGCTTGATTTCAAAAGCTGTTACCATCTGCAGCTGGCATTGCAAGGAATTCACAGCCCATCGTGTACAAACCTGCAACACTGCATCGGTTGCCGGACACATAGAGGAGAACGTGGCAGAGGCTGTTGCGACAGGGCTTAGGTTTTCTACTTTGAATAGGGTTTTGGGGCAGAATCTAGGACCAGGAAGCCTCAAGGATGAGGTTTGTAAGCACAATATATCATAAAAAAGTTCAAAAATGTGTGTACTATGTTTTTTCACCTGTAACATAACTATATAGACAGTTCAGGCCCACTATGTTGAACCTCGAACCTCCGAAGTCAATGCCCAGCGGCACAGTCAACACAACTGCACTCCGCGTCTTCGGCGCGACCTGACAGCTTGCTGAAGATCCCTATTACGAGCTTTACCATACACCACAGAAGCCTTGAAATTTTGGGGCCGGAAAGCTTATCAACGTACCATGTAGGGTTCGAGTAGACTATACTAAAATGTAGCCCAAAACGCTGTTACGGCCCTACAACCCCAAAAGCCCTTTAGAAGCCCTCCAAACCCCCAAGACAGCAAGCACCAAAATCTTGAGACCCGTACAATTCCTCTATAGCATAGAATATAGACATCGGAACAGTCAGTACTAGCATACCGAGAAGCATACCCGCTCATCGTCCCTCATCTGAATCCTATACACCCCAAGCCGATCCCCAACACCCCACTCTACTTGTTGTGGCGCACGGTTCAACATAGTTAGGGCTTACGGGTTGAGGGTTTAGAGTTACGGATCCGAAAATTTGGTGTGTAGGATCAATGTCGATTCCGGGACAGTGGCAGCCGCTATGTATGTCGAAGGCCTCCGCATCAGAAGACAACGATGCCGGAACTTTCTATACACCAAAATACATAAGAAAGGGGCCATACAATATCTGGAATAGGGTTTGGAGGTATATAGCCCAGATTTATGAGCCCCTGTCTCTCTGGCTTCTACTTAGTTTAAGAACCTGAATACATTGACCCCTGCTGTACATCCTGAGTGATGGAAGGGGGTATGACAATCAGGGATCTACAAAAGGTACAGCCCTGAACCCTAAACCCTAAAAACCCTAAAAACCCTAAAAACCCTAATAACCCTAATAACCCTAAAAACCCTAAAAACCCTAAAACCTTAAAACCCTAAAAACCCTAAAAACCCTAAAAACCCTAAAACCTTAACCCTGCATGCCCTGGAACCTTAAAGCTCCCCTTCTGGTACTTCACTGCAGAAGAGAGCTGACGAGGTTTAGGGTTTAGGGTTTAGGGGTTTAGGGTTTAGGGTTTAGGGGTTTAGGGTTTAGGGTTTAGGGTTTAGGGGTTTAGGGTTTAGGGTTTAGGGTTTAGGGGTTTAGGGTTTAGGGTTTAGGGGTTTAGGGGTTTAGGGTTTAGGGTTTAGGGTGACGAGGCCACTGGGTTCCCCTAGAAATCACCAGAGTGCCATGAGGGGCCGACATGATTAGAATAGGGCCATCGGGTCTGTTATTCGATGTAGTATCCTCATCCCTGCGAAGCAGTACTTCTGAGCTGTAATACCCTTCACAACATGTTCAGTTTCAATAAGGGGTCCGCGCAAAAAACCAGGGCACAAGGGCAAGGGTATCAGTGGGGGGACCCTTTTCTAGCATCCCAGCTACATTTATTTGCTCAGTCCCCGCGCATCCAGGATTCATCGGGTTTGGTGTGCATAGGGCTTGGGGCCTAGGTTTGGGGTTTAGGGTCGGAGGGGCTTAGGGCCTCGGGTATGATCCTATCGTACCGCAGCTCGAATCCATAATCACGGCCTTGCCGCGCAAGAAGACAAGCCGTAGGAGCGGGCCTGTCATAAAGCAGTAGAGGGTTGAACGGGGCGATTTGGTGATCCGCAACGAAGCATCCCAGCGCCGAAAGCGCAGCACCAGCAAAAGCAGCAGCAGCAGCAATGCGTGATTTCGTTGTGGCAGTGGTTGGGGTTGTGGTGGTTGCTGTCTTTGTTGCGGCGGTTGTGGTTGTGCTTGTTGTCGTTGTGGTCGTCGTTGTCGCGGGCCTCGTGATGGTCGTGGTCGCTGTTGCCGCGGTGGTGGTTTGTAGCTGTTGGTGATGCTGTTGCTGTTCATGCGGCAGTTACCTATAGTCTCCATTGTAGTTCCTTTTTCTGGTTAACCAGTTTTATGGTTAGGATCCTATAATAGAGGTTTTGGTGAACCAAAAAAAGGAACTACAATGGAGACTATAGTTACAGTTACAGTAGCAGTCGCAGGATGGATGGGAGCCACAGCCCGGAGGATCCAAGTATCCAAATAGTAGGGTTTCAAGGTCCAAAAACCATTCAGAGTATGGACTTTGGGACCTAAAACCCTACTATTTGGGTACTTGGACCCTGAGGGCAGCAATGACCATGACGAGAACTTTGTCTGGCCTTTGCACTGCAACGGAGGCAAAGTTGCAGCGGCCGCCGCGAGTCTCAGGGCGCCGTTCTGGCCTCTTGCATTCTGTTAGGGGTTGCGGTGCGATATCTCCAACCGCAGAAAACAGACTGAACCCTAAACCTAGGTCTTCAGCTTAGACGACTCCTTGCAGAGCCAATGACCCATGAGCTGCTCGACCAAGTTTACCTACAAGCTGCAGCTTAGGACGGTAGAAGCATCATGGGAGTTGGGGCTGTAGCAGTGCTGTGTTCAAGCCTCAATTATGACAAACTCCGCCAAGTGCTAATAACATACAAGTAGGTGCCTGAATACGCAGGGTAGTTATTCGACTATAGGAAGGAACCCTGCAAGGAAGGGGGCTTAAACGGATTATTCAAAGCACAACGCTGCACGATCCTGAAACAAGTTCACCCGAAACTACTACACCCTACCTTTAGTCTCCACTGTAGTTCTTTTTGGGGTTACTTTTCGGATCCTAACCATAGAGCGGTTTAACCAAAAACAGGAACTGCGATAGAGACTATAGGCAACTCCAAATGCCTCTAACCGTAAACCCTAAAAGCCCTAAACCCCAAAGTCTTACCTAGACCCGACAACTACCCTTTTATCATACCAGAGATACCCGCAATTATGGACCATAAGGTCTCCATTAAAGGGCCCCGGGTCCTTGCAAACCCCCAAATCGCAGTCCTGTCTGGCAGTCGGGCAGGTCGCTTTCACGAAACTCGGCCACGGACCTCAGATTTTCATTGCGGTTTAGTGAGTTGCGGGAGTTTTCGGTATAGTGGTTTAGGTTTCAAGGTTTGGGGTTCAGAGATTTTGTTCGAGGCTCAGGGATTGCAGTTAAGTTTGGGGGGTTTCGGGCCGGCAAAGGCGTCCGATTTCTGTGGCAATCTCATAACGGGAAGCCTTAGAAGCTGTTTCTAACCCGAGAAACCTTCAACTCCACACTTTACACCCCATACAACCCCAACCCCAAAGCCCCTACAGAACCATCATAATGGACCCAGCAACGGAGGCCTCGAAGGAACCTAACAACCCTGCAAAAACGGCCCCTGAAGCCCTAAAGAAGTCTGGGTTAGAAGGGGCCCCCACACTGTAATAGTGACTATAAGGACTATATTAGGGCCCTATTATATTCCTATCATACCACTATTACAGGGTGGGGGGCCCTTCTAAAGTCTAGGCTGCGAGCCAAGAAGAAGGGAGCACCACCTGGACGTAGCGACCCGCGACCTGCATGAAGGCTCCTTTACAGAATTCGTAAGGGTTCCTTTAAGTTCCTTTAGGAATCTAAGGGTTCTTTAGGGGTTGCTTTAGGGCTCCTTTCAGTTCCTTTAGGAATCTAAGGGTTCTTTTAAAGACTGCTTCTTTTACAATTCCTTTCTGGGGTTCTTTTATATGGTTCAGTATAAGGAGGCCACCATCTGCTGTGGAAGCATATGACTGTGGCGGGCTGCACGCAGCATGCGCTAATCCAAGCAGCACCAGTCGTGTAGAACAACGGGGAACCGGACATGACGTCAAACACAAACGAAACAGCAATCGGTATGAAAACAAATGCGAGGGATCATGAACAAGTCCACACATTCAGTACATCTAGAGATATGCATCTTTCTACATGTATACAGTATACACACAGCTGTATGCACTGATATACCGAGGCAATGCTGTCATTCCCGGCAGTATGTCGAGGGCTTCTACTGTCCTTTGATGACCCTAAACCCTAAACCCTAAATATGTCCAATGCCACCGGGACTCCGAGACCCTTCCCCTTTGATGGGGCGTCATCTAGCGGAAACCCCACATGACCTTCCTTAAGGGGATCTACGGTTTAGGGTTTAGGGTTTAGGGTTTAGGGGATACTATAAGGGCTCTATGATATAGGGGTTCCTTTAAGGGGTTCTATAAGGGATACTGTAAGGGCTCTATGAGAATCCTGACAATCGAAGTTCCACAGCGGAACTGGGAGATTCGGAAGATTAGGGCTATCTTCTTTTGATAATAAGGATCCCACTATTTAAGGTACTATTATAGGGTCCCGTACTGTTGATAGACAAAATCCTGCATGGCCGTATATACCTAATGTACAGGAATTATATGGTACCATACCATACTTAGGTTAATGCAGGATCTTGCCCATCCACCGTACTTTCGGAAATACGGGGTACCTCATTTTGGAGTCCTTATAATAAGGATCCCACTTTTTAAGGTACTATAATAGAGTCCCCTACGTATTTTTGGAAACTCTCAACTCGATCTACGTTGCTGTGCCCGCGGCTCTGGCGAAGCGCGACCGCAAAACGGGTGACTGCCGCTGCACCGCTCGAAATGCAGCTCGCAGACCTGGGGACTGCAAAACATCCGCTAGACGTAGTGACACTGAGCAAAAACCAACAAAAAGTTGCAAACAAAGTTCAACAAATTGCAAACAAGTCGGTTTTTATAGGTTCGCTACACTTAGTGACTTAACGGTCAGAGATCTTTGAGGTACAGCTGTTAAGGTTTAGGGCTTAAGGTTCAGAGGTTTAGGGTTTAGAGTTTAGGGTTGGGGACTTACTGTTGATGATACAAATCCTGCATTACCCATAGTAAGGAGTATACCATAATTCCCATAGTCTAGGGTCCTTAAGGTAATGCAGGATTTATATCATCAACCGTAGTGACACCGTTGTATACCGCGGTCACAAATTCGCAGTGGGGCTGTCGCAGTCGCTACATCGCCCTCATCAAAAACAACACCCATCACCACCACCGGCCCGACGACGAGAGCATCAGTGACAACAGCACAAACCAACTTCATCTTCCACGAACAGGAACGAACACAAGCAACTAACCACCATTAACAAACTACCTAGTAGAACCGGCAGTGACAACAACAGCCACCACACACCAGAACATTCAGAAACACAGCGACGAGAAATTGCAACCCCGACAATCAGAGGACACATACGCGCGCGCGCGCGCACACAGACACAGCAGCACTAGCAGCAACACTAAGAGGCAAGAGCGACAATCGAACACACAGTGGCAAATCTCAGGCGACGTGCCGAAGCAGAACCACGGGACCCAAAAAGGTTAGCATGGCTCAGGTTTCGGTAGACTTAATATGGAAGCCTTAGAGTAACATTTAGAATAGGTTTTGGGGTGGTGAAAGTTTGTTAGTAAGTTTTTTTAAGGGATCCCCAATGAAAAATATTTCAGATTTTCCAGGCCTATATGCGCTGTAGGCCTTTGGGCCTACGGCAACAGATTCTGACCTTCTCCATTTGAGTAGGCTGACAGAGCCCTGCTGCAACAGAGCTAAGGGCTTAGAGCTTACGGTTTCAGGTTTAGGGCTTAGGGTTCAGGGTTAAAGGCTTAGGGTTGAGCGGGGATTCACGGACAACAGCTCCAAGATTTCAAGAGAATGTATTTGTATACTGTCAAGGTTTGGCGTAAAGGGTTTCCTCCAGATCCACTTATGAAGCAAAACGACGGCCAAACATCTCACACAGGGTGCAAGCAGCCTATCTATCTCGCTCAAGGTAGAAACTCGAAAGCTTGCAGCCCAAAGCTGTGATTCTAGGAGCCAGTCCGCTCTGCGTCACTGCTGGCCTGCCAGAAGAGGTGGTAGTTTCAAGAGACAGGTGCGGGCTTTCTGCTTACGTTTCTTTCGAGTCTGGATGTTGATGGCTAGAGATGGTGATCACTGCTTGGAGGGTCGGGGGACTTGGTAAGTAGGTAGTAAGTAGACCTCTAAGTCTAAGTACCCTAAAAGGGACCCTAATTGGGGTTATGGCACTTATAAGTCACTAAGTCCCCCTACCCTCCAAGTGAGGAACTTTACCATGCACGAGTTCCCGATCTGAAACAGAGGTTTAGGTTTAGGGTTTAGGGCTGCTGCTTTTCATGCGGTTCCTCGCCCAACATACTCTGGTCAAAACCCTACAATTAGCCCTGAAACCAATCTAGGCTGTGAAGCAAGTATTTAGCTCAGCTAGCTGAGCGCTTGCGGGCGTCGAGCTGTTCAGGGTTCAGGAGTGGTTGTTCAGGCTACAAGGAGCTTGCGACGGAAGCTGATAGGGCTTTGGTGTTTAAGGCACTATCTTCTCTGCTCCGCGAAGCTGAAATCACGATATGCTCAATCCCTCCAGTCGCTGCTGCTCTGCCTAATACCTCTGCTTTGCTGCTGCTGTATCGGTATACCGATGCGACTTCTCTTCGAATCTTTAATTCCAGTTGCTACTACTGTTATCGATTTTATTGATGTTGCTTCGCCTCACTTCTCTGAGTTTCTTGCCAGCTAGATCCGGCAGTTTCCACAAAAAGGGGGACCCTAATATGGTACCCTAAATAGTAGGATCCTTATTAGAAGGACCCCAAAATGAGGTCCCCAATTTTCGGAAAGTCCCATCTGTTCGCCATTGTTCTTGGTCGCTGCCATCGAAGATGTGTACGGCTATCACTATCGTTTCCACTACTCAACCCTACACCCCTAACTTGTCAGATTATGTCTCGATCGTTCCCTGCCTCCACAATGAACAAACACATACAGAAAACTAAACCGCTTCATCCACAAATTCTAAAACTCCAAACCCCCACAGCACCCTGAGCTCCACTTAACTCTTTCTTCTTGGTGGGCTTAACCCCTGAACACCTCAAAACCTCGAACTATTGGAGCCCAGACTCAATGCTGTCAAAGGCACCCGACCCACCCTGACATGGTCAAAGTCCCCGGCGAGGCCCTGCGTCTGGGCTTGCTTAGGGTTTAGGGTACCCTTGTCCTTTTCGAAATAATAGAAAGAGCCCTATACCTATACCTATATCCCTTAATAGGAATTATTTAAGAAGGTCTACTAGCCGGTCTGTTTATTCTTTTGGGGGAACCATGAAAACGGACAAGGGTGGTTTAGGCTTGGGTTCTTGCCCAGGAAATGTCTCCAAGTTGGCGGTAGGGTACCCATAGGCCCCATAGCAGTTCCTTTTTGGGATTACCTTATAGGATTCTACATATGAACCCCAAAAAGGAACTACTGTGGGGCCTATGGGTATGGTACAGTAAACCCTATAAAGTATGAGACCGGATTAAGGCCAAATAGTGCTGGGATTCCTTATACATTGCTCTTTAGGATTGAGGCTATTGGGCTTCCAACTTTTGGGCTTCTACTGTGTGGTAGTTGGAATTGAAACACGCGCGATACAGATTTCCTGGTTACTAACTATACCCTTCTGATGGTCATTTGAAGTAAAGCCCGGAACATGAACCCAGCTGAGGCCTGAGTTTAGAGGGGTTTAGGTGGAGATTTAGGATACGTCAGCTGTGGGAGGGGGAGAGCTGGCTGCTTCACTCATACCCAACCCTAAACCCTAAACCTCAACCAATCCCTACACCCTAAACCCGACTGTGGGGACGGCGAGAGGCTTAAAACCTAAACTCAAAGCCCACAGCCCAAAGGGGAAGCCTTCCTGGTATGGGGCTTTCTTGCGCACCGTGTGGCCTCTGAAGGTGGAAGCCCCAAAATTGAGATGTGCCCTTCCAAGACCATAATAAAAAAACCTTTGAGTAAGTTTGTTCTACAAAAAAACCTTTTCAAATCCATGAAAGTTCAAGAAATGCCCTAATCCCTAAATCTTAAACCCCCCGAAACAGGGCTTGGCATGGTCGGAGTTCTCCGGTTTTGGGCGTTGGGATTTAGGCTTTGACGGTGCGTTGGGGTTCCAGGTTCGTTGGGTGCAAGGTAAGTGGAATAGCGGCAGTTGGAGGGGAGGCAGTGGGTCAGACAGAATCGCAGCAGGAAGAGAAGAACTGCAACCTTGGTGCCTTGATGATTAATTAGATCTGGCTTGGAGGGAATATTCTGGCAAAAATATGTCCATATATTGCGACGATATTTGAGGCAGTAGTGTTCCTTGTACAGACCCCCAAAAAATCGCAACTTGAGTTGGAATCAGGACTGCCCTATGCAAGTAGATGCAGCCACCTTGCTCCGTCTGCAGTTGCATCCAGAGCCTTGGGCAACTCATTCCAGAACCTACCTATAGTCTCCATTGTAGTTTCTTTCTTGTTTAACCAATTTTATGGTTAGGACCCTATAATAGAGATTTTGGTTAACCAAAAAAAGGAACTACAATGGAGACTATAGGTACACCATTTCCACCAGAGCGAACTCTGAATGGGATGAAGGCAAAGACAGAGGCCCTGACAGCTAAAGCTCAAACAAGACTAATCACCACTGCGATTCACGCAGGAGTCAACAAGAAATTGTTTCGGAAGTACTTATCAGGGGGCATCGAATCTTAGTGTACGTGTCAATCAAAACATGAGAACAGACTTCAGTCTGCGCAGTCCACGGTTCGGCGGAAAGAGGAACAGTTTCCCCTTAGAGGTTGAGGGAGCACGCATTGGCTGAAGAAGTAAATGTAAGTAGTGAGCCAGTGCAGGGCGATGGCAGAGCTTGGAAGCTGCAAAACTGTACACACAGGGCTCATCCAAGGCAACGGACGTGAATTTCGCGTGCCAAGGGTGTTGCTCCTTCAACGTTTCGTAGGTCCAGTTCCCGTAATAATTTGAATACGGTGCTCATAAGACGGGACCTTAAGCAATAACATTGGCAGTTATTTCTCTCCGCTAGTCGTAGTACTAGTCGTAGCAGTACTAGTAAGGTCCCATTGTTAAATGACCCCTCAAGGTGTATGTCTAATTTAATGCAACACGCCCAGATGGGACAAAGGGCCTTTAAAAATCAGGGTAGGGTGTTGGGGTGCATGATGTTATAGAGCTAAAAGCGGAGCTATATGAGTGTTGCTATAAGGACTCTACACGGGCTTATACACAGGTTCAATAAGCAACAAGGCCATTCTCTGCATCTTTGCTCGACGGCAGCTATAATACTATATGACTTTCAATTCTGGTTGGCCTGCGATTTTTCTTGTTTTCGTCAACCCCGAAGCAATGCACTGCCCTTCGCCAGTGACAACACCGACGCCGACGCGTGCAGAGTTCAGCGGGTGCTACAGTAGCGTTCGCTCCAAGGACTCGCGATTGAAGTTCGGATCTGCATCATAACCTGTTTGTTTAAAAACCTAGGATGCCCAGTAACCCAGGAATACAAAAGGGCTCCCTTTTTGGTAGTGGGTGACTTTATAAGAAACCTAGGACTACACAAAGGGAATAAGGGTATTACTGGGCATCCTAGAAAAACATACAAATGATCTTAGGGCTTCGTGTTTATTGGATTTTCGCGGGAATTTGCCTCACTTGATGCAAGTGAGAAGCCGACAGCAGCAACTCCTGGAATGCTGTGGTCGACCTCACCACGCCATGCCCAATGACAGACGGTTTGGGTTCAGGGTAGGGTTCAGGGTCGAGGGCCTAGGGTGTGTAGATAGGGCTCATTAGTAAATACTTAGGATTTCAGGAGTACCGGGAAGACCAGCAACCAAGAAACCAGAAACCAGCAAACCGGCAGAGCAAAGCCTACATTTACGCAGCGGTACCCCCTCTCGGTCAAAGGTTGAATGTTTCTTAATACGACCGGGCTTTATCCGATTTATCCGATGTTCGGTAGGCCTTCTTGCGTGCAGTTCACTCAACCCGAAGAGCTGGCTGCATGACAACCGACAGTACACGCGCCTCAAGACGCGACGTCTTAACAACCCGACCAAGCATCACTGTTGGTGCGACCTCAGCCCCACCTTGCTGAGCTTTACTTGTTACAAGGCGATGGTCCCATAACCGGGTTGGATACTTTAAGTGTTGTTTGCCCTCTTGGCCCCTAATGCTAGAAGCAGGACACAGTCCCCCCCTATGCATTGCAGCGCCCCTTTTTCAGCGGAAAACTGTCGCACAAGCAGCCGGCACGCAGCAGCTCGCTGGATCCTTTGTTACAAGCATCGTCGGAGGCTTCCTTTTCCCGGGGTCCTGAAGATGCAGCTCCAACTACTGCAAGGCCTCCTATATTCTGAATGCTCCCTGAGAAACGGTCGTAATAGCATGTGTTGTAGCGGTGGCAGTAGTAGCATACTGTTATCGGTAATACGACTCACATTTGTGTTACTACTACTGGGTCATAATCACTGACGCCTGGCATGCGAGACTCACCCAGACTCCTTCTCTAAGCACCAAACTCCCAACCCAGAAATCCCACAACTCGGTTATCTTCCAGAGGGTCTACAGGTTTTCACACGGATCCGCGCTGACGCTTGAACCTGCCCTCGACAAGACACCGACCGAGCTGCTTGGATACAAGTACCCACGGCATGCAATCTCCCTACTGCAAGTGCCCGGGTTTCAATGCAAACTCCCATTTTGGGGCCTATGGGTTGCAAAAGCCATCTTGGCACTAAACGCTGCAACTCTACACCCTGAGCCCTTAATCCTAAGCCCTAAAGCCCGAACCTTGAGCACTAAACCCCTGAAACCTGAAGCCTAAGCCCTTATAGTACCCTTAAAACAACGCCCTTATAGATCCTTTTCTAAATGGGACCCTGATACCTAAACACGAAAATCTCTGACAGAAGCTCGTGTCGGGTCCCCGGGGCGGCGATGATTTCAGACTTTTGAGAAGTCGAAGTCTTCACCTCATGAAGCGTCTGGGCAAAAGGAACGAGAGTTGAGGGCTTTGGGGCTTGAGGGTTTACGGTCTAGGGTTTGGGGTCTAGGGTTTAGGGTGAGGCTTGAGGTGTGTTGCCTTGTGGGGAAAACTGTTAGAAGCCGGCTTCACCCGCTTACTGCCAGGCTCGAACAGTCAACAGATCATCTTCCCAACACCTCAGGTCCTCAACCTTATATACCCTAAAAACCAAATTATGAAAAAAGACTCCAGCCCTAGACCCTAACACCTTAAACCCTGAAACTCCGAACCCTGAAAACCCTGACACGCTAAACCCAGGGATGACTTTCTGACTGTCATTCTCTCTGCCATCGGATAGTCAGTCTTCGTCCTTAAATTAAAGCAGACCGACGACACCGACGCGATCTTTGCGATTCTTTCTACTATCGCTTGCTGCTATGACTACTCATGTTGATACTTTCAGATATATACGACGATTCCTTGAATCTACTAGGTTCATTGCCATGATTTCTAGCCGTATTCCCGTAGGAGCTCCTGCGATAAGGATGGATCTACTCACAAACCTGGCTAGCCGCGACGATCTTCTACTAATCCCGTCCTACTAAACCATAGGGTCCCAAGTACCTCTATGGTAGAATGTTGGGCTTGTATATTAGGAATTATTGTTCTGATTTGGGGGAGATATCCCCCATATAGGCACTAAGAACACTTTGAGTAACCCATCGATGTACGGACTTATTATGATGTTTGGGATGTAAGAACAACTCGCAACGGCATCGTCGCTATAGTATGGCAGCCTTGACATATACACACAACAAACTTCGCGCTACCTGCTAAACCCAACAATACGCCTATGTAACAAGCACAGATATCATATCACATCTTGTTCTATCAAAAAAACCTACATTATTGAAGCCCGGCAGTGAGGTTCCCTGAGTCACAGCCGAGTAGCAAGGAGCTGGCTTCGTCCCCTCACTGCAGAACTTGAGGATGATCGGAAGCCTATGGAGTCAGATTACATCAAGGATTACTGTAAGGATCACTTAATTGTAGGGTTCAGGGTGTAAGGATTACGATAAGAGTTAAAAGACCCCAAAGATTGCGATGAGATTTACAATGAGGATTGCTGCACGGGCTACTACAGGGATTACGATAAGAGTCATTTTACAAAGTTGCATAAGGATTTCTTTCTGGATTAGTATAGGGTTTGCTTTACGGATTACGAACCGATAAACAATTAACCCGGAAACCCTAAGCCCCTACTGACTTGAGCCAATAAGCCCTAACTCAGCTCTAAACCCCTAAACCCCCATCCCTATAACTTACCCTAGACCCTGAACCCCTAAACCCTAAACCCCTAAACCCCCTGAAACCCCCCAAAACCTGAAACCCTAAACCCTGTAGATCCTCGTTATAGAACCCTTTTAGATCCCTTTAAAAGGAACCTTACTACCCTAAACCCTTAAAAGTGCCTAAACCCCTAAAACCCTAAGCCCAGCGCCAACCTCAGTGACGCGCATTTGATCTCCTCTTGGCAGACCGGTGAGGCCTCTCTGCAAGAGGGAGTCTCGCACAAGGAAGGGAGGTCCCTTTCCCAAAGGGTCCAATGTACCGATATAGTAGAATGTAGGGTTTCCATATTAGGAATTACTATACTATGACTTAGGGAAGTATCCCCCATAACAGTACGTAGGACCCTTTGGGTTTTTAAGTGGGGTTTAGGGTGTTATGGGGCTTTTTAGGGTTCAGGGGTTTAGGGTTTAGGGGTTTAGGGTGTTATGGGGCTTTTTAGGGTTCAGGGGTTTATGTTATGGGGCTTTTTAGGGTTCAGGGGTTTCGGGGTTTAGGGGTTTAGAGGGGTGTGGGGCTTTTGGGGTTTCGGGATGGTTCCTCGGTGTCTTTTTGGGGTTTACGGATGCATAGGGCATCATCGGACGCTCTTGGGATTCACAGGGCCTGCACGTGAACAGGTGCAGACCTCAAACCAAGAGTCCGGAACGCGAAGCCAGTGTTTAGTCTACCGTAGAAGCCCTAAAGTTGGAAACCCAATAGGCTCGATCCGTAAGAGTAATGTATAAGGAATCCCAGCACTATTTGGCCTTAATCCGGTTTCCAAGTGTGTGGGGTTTAGTCGATGCCATGGTATGAACAGGTTAAGGAATCCTCAGGAACAGTACTTGTTGTTCTGCAGACCCCTGCCTACCTCATGTCCATGCTGTCCATGAAGTTCACCCCGAGCCCTTAACCTTGTGTTATGTAACCTTTGAACCCAATAGATCACACATATTTGCGCATAAATCCGAAACCTGCAACTGTACGGCACCACGCCAAGCCTTAAAGCTTAAAATCCTAACCCCGAGCCCCGAAGCTCGAAATCCTGAAACTCGAAAATCCTGTTACCACCTCTAAAGATCACAGAAGCAACCCTAAACCCTAAACCCTAAGCCCTAAACCCTGAGCCCTAAGCCCAGAATTGTAACCCAAAGACCCCGAAGCTCCCAGCATCGTCCGAAAACAAAACCCTCCTGAAGCCCTAAGAACCCTTGATCTCCTAAAACCCCGAAACCCCAAAAACCTCCTAGCAAAAAAAAAGACACCTAAAGCTCTAACAAGCCCCGAAATAAGGCACTAAAAAGCACCTACAGCAGCCAAAAGCACGGAAAAAAGAAACACCTGGAAGGCCCCTGCCTCGTAGTGCCCCACAGCTGTAAGGACTGGCTCCTTTCCTGCTAAACACAATGACTTTGGGGTTGTTGGTTGCGCTTGTGTTGGGTGTTTGGGGTTACAGGGTTCGAAGTTTGGGGTTTAGGGTTTCAAGGGGTCCAAAGGGTTTCGGTTTTGTTTTTGGGATTTCTGGAGTTCAGGGGTGTCGGGTTTTGGTGCTTCAAGGCATCGAATTCAGGGTTTGCATTCACATGCTCACATGCCACAACAGAGCGAGCTGCGTTGGGTGACAGCACCTCTATCACCGCGGCCCATCACCAACACTGCGGCCCTGCCACCGTGACAACCTCACTGGGTACTGCCCCTACACAGTAACAGTCCGTAATAGGGCTGCTATTAAGGTCCTAATATATCTATATTATGAACCTCAAGTAGCAACACGATCACCATAACTGTCGCCGGCACCACTCACCACCAGCAAGATTAGTCATGATCCCCATGTTCCTCCTCCTCCTCCTCCTCCTCCTCCTCCTCCTTCTCCTCGTCCTCGGCATCATCATCACCATGATCGCCACCACCAGCGATACCACATTGAAACGTTCAAAATCTCAACCCAAGACTCCCAGGACTGCGCATGCTGAGCGCGCCTCGCAGACAAACGAAAAAAGCCTTCGCCTGTGAAAGCATGCGAACTCGGAGCATTCAGGGTTGAGCGTTTTGGCTTTTCAGGTTTATGGGCTTAGAGGGTAGAGGGTTTAGGGCTAGGGACTTAGAGGGTTTTAGAGTTTAGGGCTTGGGTGTTCGCAAGTTTTGAGGTGGTCTTAACAAAGAACCCTTACACCTCAAGTCAGGGTTGACTTGAGTCCAAAACGATGCTGTTCTGAGCCGATTTAATTCTGCGCATACTCTGTCGCGTTGCACGTCCAGTACCGCCAAGAAACGTCTGCGTAGGTGCATGTGGCTCCGCGCTGCGACGCCGTCATGCAGTGTGAGTCAGAGCTTGGAAGTACCAGGCTGTCAATAGCCGAACCCTCAAGTTCGCTTGCGCAACCAGAACCGTAGTTATCGAACCCTAAACCAAAGCCTATTAACCTTCATCCCTGATACTTAAACCGTGAACCCTCAACCTGAGAAAAACTAAAACGAGGCAATCCTGGCCTTCTCAACAAAGACATGTACGGCGAGCTCATCTCCCGGGTGGACGGACATGCGAATGTTGACCTTCGGATTTCAGGCATGCGTCACAGGTGGTTGGTCTTTGGTCCCAGGTATGCCCAACCTGCATAAGCTGAACCACCAGGAACTAGTGTGGGTTGGAGTGTCGGATCCAAGATCATGGCTAGCTCTGTTGGAGCAGCTAGAGAACCCCCTCGTCGGGTCCAAAGCTCTTTTTGGACTGCTGCCACTAGAAAGCAGGTTGCTTCTTCCACAGGACAAGAAGTTGTTCTATAGATGCGAATTACTGATGTCTGATTGTACACTGCGAGGGGGACTGAACCCGAGACCTTGCCTGCTCAAGGCGAAGCACGAAACCTTGTCAGCACTACCGACCTCCTTCCGCACGGAGTTTCTTCACCAGCGTGTGACTTCCAAGTCTGTATTAGCGTTTATACAGCCCAAGTATGTGTATGGAAAAATACATGTGTATATATAAATATGTATGTGTACATAGAATATGTTCAGCTATTTGCTTACTTGTTACTGTGGCGGAAAGTGATGTCAGATAAATGGTCGTAGATGGTCGCAGAACAAACGGGACAGCAATCTTACCTACCCCTGTGCCTACATCTAAGAAAGTTTAGAACTCATCTCAGTTTCTTGATTTCTGCCTCAGAAGCGTGCATCGCAAAGAATGGATTTCGCGGTCACATGGACGCACTGTGGCTTCGGGATCACTATGATCACTTCAGCTTCGAGTATTATGAGTTGTTTCGGTCTCAATCGAAGAAAATGAGGCACACACCGGGATGTAGTACTGTACTGATTGTGGCAGACGCGCTACGGGTCATGCACTACACAAGCTTACCTGTGGAGCTCGCGCTCCGTGTGCAGGATTCTGTGGGTAACTGTCGAGATGCTGGGTCACGAACCAGGTTTCTGACAGAACCCAAAGAAACCTCACAAGCTCATAAATACCCCTAAACCCTAAACCAGTCCTGAATCCTAAACTTTGTGAAGCCCTTCTACTACTTAGAGGATCATGGGACTTAGTAACTATGGCTATAAACAAGGTAACTATACATGATATAAGCCCAGTTAAGGTACTTATAACTTATAACCCTTGATCCTCCAAGTAAACCTCCTGAGATCGCCGGCGTAGAAGGCCCGCGCATCGCGCTGCGGGTAGCAGGACTCCATCATGGACGGCACGCGCCCCTTGCAAGGTTTGAGGTCCAAAGGCTTCAACTGGATAGGGTTCCCTTCAAACGGGGTCTATAGGGATAACTATAAGGGGTATTATGGGGGGTTCTAGTATAGGGGCCGACTTGCAAGGCTTGAGGCCCAGAGGCTTCAACTGGCACTTCAAGAACCCACAGACCACAATATCCCTTGATTAGTTTCAATCATAGTAGGACCCCTAATGTAATTAAGGAATATTCAAAAGATATTGGAGTCCCTGCGAACTGGCATTTCAAGGTGAACGCAGCAGGCTGGGTACTGCTCGCCTTCTGCCTGCTAGGACCTCATGTGGAGGCTTCCAAACAGATACTCGTGGTACCTTGCTCAGGGGTCCTCACAACAAGGATTCTGCGATTTCCTAATTTCAGAAAAGAGCAGACCCCTACTATAGAACCCTAAACAGTATGATGCTAATAACAAGGACTCTTAAAGAAGGACCCTATTAACAAAATGCTAGACTCCTCGAATAGACCCAATAACACCCTGCAAAACCCTTATGAAACCCACATTTAAAAAAACCGCAAATTTATAGGGCTCTGTCGAAGTGTTCCCCTCGTTTTGCAGAGTTATTCGCCTCTCACGCGCCCAGACGTTTATGAGGTTTAGGGCTTAGGGTTAAGGTGTAGGGGTGTTTAGGGCTAACTTAGAAAACACCCCAGCAAGTTCCTAAGTCCTAAGGAAGCCTACATCATGGCATTCATGTGAATCGAAACCTTTGTCTGATCCCTACTTCACGCAAGCCAAGCTCGGATATGCGGGCCGTGTAAAAATTTCGAGCCCAACACCAAGTCTCAAATCCTAAACCTTGTGAGCCTTACCCTAAGGCCCCATAGCAGTTCCTATTTGTGGTACCCTAGCCCTTTCTAGGCTACCTAATTTATGGTTAGGATCTGTTTTATAGAATACCAGGTACCTTATAAATTTAAAGTCGGGGTAGGGTATGAGCCTCTAGGTAAACCTTGTAGACCTCAGCCACCCTGCACCCGAAATCCTACAGTAGAAGTCAGCAAGTGGGAACATCAGTAGCCTCATGCCCTTAAAGCAAAGTATAGGGAATCCCCGCATTCCAACTTTCTGGGGTTCACGATAAACCAACCAACCAACCTAAGACCCGAAGCTCGGGGACTGAACCTTACGGTGATAGGGCTTGGGGTTTTGGGTTTGGGGGTTTAGGGTCTGGGGTTTAGGGTTTGCGGTTTAGGGTTCTAGGATTTAGGGCTTAGGGCTTTGGGGTTTTTCCCGGCCTGAAAGAGGACGTTGTACATGTCACAGTCTGTAGATCTGACCACATAGCTCGCCTGCAGGAAGCTTCGAGCATCAGGCGGCTTCAATCCGGTTTTGGGGCGTGGTGCTTAGGCTAAAGTTTACGGATACCCATAGGCCCCAAAGTAGTTCCTTTTGGGGATTACCTAATAGGATTCTTTATATATGTTATTATTAGTATTCTTACTATTATTGTTATTATTATTACTATTATTATTACGATGGAAAGGCCAGGCTAGAAGCAATATGAGGACTGACCAGGCGGGGCCTCGCCCCATGTTTCGCTCGACTTGTGTTGCTGTGGTTTCATATGGGAGTTTCCGAAAATTAGGGGTACCTTTAAAGGGACCCATTAGGGTTCCTTAAAGGGATCTATATAAGGGTTCTATAAAGGGTTTAGGGTTTAGAGTTTCCCGAAAATTAGGGGTACCTTACTTCGGGCTCCTTATAATAAGGATCCTACTATTTAGGGTACCAGAGTAGGGTCCCCTATTTTCGGAAACCCCCCATATATTCACTGCATGCGCACACATGCATTTCTGCATCTTTGCATCCGCCCCGTTGGAATGCTTGCTGCTGGTTTATGCTTTCTAGGCTCATCGCACCATGCCTGCACGTGGACAGTGCCCTGATATGCCCTGATCCCTCGCGCTATGCGTGTCGCTCACACGTGTCAATTATGTTGGAGATACCGTTTCACCTCGAGCTCACAAGACCAAACCTCACGTCATTTTCCAAGATCCCGAAGAAACGACCGACACCACTTCACCGTCAATCGACTGTGCATCAAGCTAATCCCTTCGCACCAGAACCCCAGAACACACTCAAACTCTGCACTAACAGGAGTCCGGTTATACCAGTATAAGTATAAGTCTCTCGTGTGCCCATGACAAACCTAGAACCCCCTTGAGTCCGAATCTCTAGCTTTACATTAACAGTACTGTTGCATGAGCTCTCAAGCCCACGATGCTCCGAATCCATGCGTGCCGGAGCTCCGACATTCTGACGTGCCTTCAAGTATTTCTCTGGTGTGAAAGGGGCACCCGCTTTCCTTGCGACAGACTTGGTGACGCTTGAAGCGGTTTTGGGTTCAGGGTTCGGGGAGCTGATGTTTGTCGGGGTGTAAACCAAGACTAGGGTTTAGGGTTTAGGTTTAGGGTTTAGGGTTGGGCACAGAACGGGTGCTACAGTTTCTGCTGACTGCGGGAAGAAGAGTGGTCGACCACGGCGAAACGGAGAACGATACACACTCACACATATTTCGCCTCGTACTCCTCAACAGCTACCAAACCTTGGGGCTTTGTTGCGTTCATGATTGGGCGGGCGAGGTTGACGATAGATACCTCGCTACACAATACTAATGTCGATCCGAACATCAATGTGGTCGGGCATACCGGACTTACAGTACTTACTCTGGCCATAAAGGAATCCTTAACAGTAACCTTGGGGCCCATATGTGTATACAGGTGTAAAAATAAACAAATGTGTGTATGCATGTTTGTATGTACGTATGTATGTACGGACTCGAAATAGGCAACGGAACCCATAGCCGAGCCACAGGGGAACAGAATGTTCACCACACTTGACCACCGGTTTCTTTGGTATTATTTAAACAACAACACATGTTACTGCAAGTCAGGTTTTTGTTGGTGCAGATTTCGCTCCCCTGGTCACAACCAAGGCATATCGTGCATGAGCTTCGGTTGCTCTGCGAAGCGTAGGGCCGTGTCGCTTACTCCAAACACCTGAAACCTTGAAGAGGCTTGAGCCCTAGAGCCGAAACAGTAGAGCTCCGTGATGGGGATTACCCATAGGCCCTATAGTAGTTCCTTTTTGGGGTTCATATGTAGAACCCTATAAGGTAATCCCAAAAAGGAACTACTCTGGGGCCTATGGGTAAAATGCTGCCAAGACCTTTTACCCAGAGGCCCCAGAGTAGTTCCTTTTTGGGATTACCTCGTAGGATTCTACATATGAACCCCAAACCATGGGGCCTATCGGTAGAGTCCTTCAAGTGACGAAATGGGAGGCTACGGATACGAGTAGTTCCAAAACTTGGGGTTGCAGAGTCGAGGCTGAGTGCACCTGAGCCTACCACATGAAGCCAAACAGCGACAGTCTGAAGACGTTATTTTTGTTTTAGGGTTTAGGGGCCTTGGGCTTCTTTCGTGGCCTCAATAATATGCTGGCAAGGCTCGGATATGCAGAATAAAATCGAAGGGATGTCTTTGAAAACTTACTCTTGCTCGGGTCCGTGAACTTTCTCAGGTCCTGATGCAGGGAGCAGCAAAGCTGGAGCATCAACTCGTGCTTGAACGGACAATGTGCGCATGGCCGCGCAGGCACTGACGGCAAAGACCTTCCACTCAAAAGCTCAACAGTACTCGCCATGCGGACCAAGACAGGCCATGGCCTCATGGTCCGAGAGACCCTAAGATTCCAAGTATACCGGCAGTACCTACCTGAGGGTCTAAAGTCTATAAACCGTACATGCTTTGGGCTATTTGGAGTCTTACAGTAGGGAGAAGGAAAAGCTCTGGAATCGAATCCTACTTGTCGGGTATCATGGGGAACTAAAGGTTAACCTTTTTGGTCATATAGGGATTATATAGGGACTATACTACGCAAAAACAGGTTAAAGGTTACCTACTGTACTGCTGGGACATTGTCTGCCCTGCTGAGCCTTGGCGAACGCATCGTATGCTTTGGCGTCCGCTCCACCTTGTCAGATTCATGGTCGCGGATATTTCAGGCTCGAGTTCCAAGAGATGGAGGGCACCAAACATGGACCCTATGTAGTTGGGCCATGTTGAGTCATGCAATATCGTTTTAACAAGGTGGTTCGAAAATTTGAAGAATCCTCCGTTTCCTATGCATGACCCTAGCCCCTTCAACCTGATAACCAGGAGCGATTGCGAACTCCTTTCTTGATCCACACTGTCTGCAGCTGCAGCGGCTATATGCGCCGGTCGCAGAGATCTGGCAAAGGTTCAAGCCAAACAGGCCTGCGCATGGCAGAGTGCTGTGCCAACAATGAGGTGACATCGATATTCGCAAGGAAGGTTCCCCGGCCGTGATATCCAACCTGGAGGACGTACTGCTGGATGAACCCTATGAGAAGGCACGACTGCGACTAGGACTACGAAGACGAGCACAACGACGACGACTACGACTGCAGCTACGACGACGACTACTACTGCTACTGCTGCGACTTGGACTGTGACTGTAACTGCGACTACGACGACGACCACTGCTACTGCTACTGCTGCTGCTGCTGCTGCCGCTGCTGCCAAGAAAGAATTACTACCACTGCTACTGCTGGCTAGTTTAGGGGCCTAAATCATTTTCCAAGACTATTAAGTCTAGTATATTGGGCCCCTACACCCTGTTCTAATTCTTAAGGCCCCTAATAGTAGCTTCACCTTCTTAGTGTCGGGCCGCTATATTGCGGAGGCCCCTACAAACCTTTATTATTCTAAAACCTTAACCCTACACCTTTGCTATAAGCTAAACCCTAAACCCTAATTAAGCCCTAAACCCTAAACTTTCATTCTATTACTGCAACTTATTTCGTGTTTTTCATCTTCAACTTTGCCCGTAGCCTCGCATGTACAGCGACCCGTCATCAGCGAACATCTGCGTGTCCTGCGGTTTAGGGTTTAGGGGTTTAGGGTTTAAGGGTTTAGAGGTTTATGGTTTAAGGGTTCAGGGTTTAGGGGTTTAGGCTTTAGGGGTTTAGGCTTTAGGCTGGCGACAGCACTGAAAAGGTGAGAGGTTTATGCTGCAGGGCTGATAGGCATGGACTGGAGAAACCATGGAAACTCAACAGCAAAAGCCCAAGACAAATCCTGAGCCCGGAACCCTGACACCCAAAAAAGCAAGCCTGAGCAAGTACCACTGAACTGTGAGCTTTTGAAGGAATGACTGAACGACGGCCCAAGCTGAGGTGAAGCAAGAACCTGCAGAAACGTCTGAAACCCAATGCCCATCCCGTCCCACGGGAAGAGGGGTGCCGCCGGAAACTCCGGCGTCGTGTCAATCCGAAGTGTGTCGAGAACGCGGATGCCTCGAACACAGAAGGTGCACGTGCGATGCTCAACTTGCGCCGTCTAGAGATTTGCTTGAGTTAAACACTGTCGCTGGTAAGCGATGATGTTCGTATATGATGATTCCAATGATGAAAGACACTTCGGTCACTCCGAGAAAGAAATTCAACAGTCTTTGCAGTACTGCTCGCTGAGTCTAATGATTGCTGACACTGATGAAGGCGGTGCTGATGATATAATGGTGATGATGGTGACGAAGATTATCATCATGACTGATGTTGATGATGATGATGATGATAGTGATGAGGATGTTGTTGTTGTTGATGACGATGACGGCGGCGATGATGCTGATGGTAATGGCTATGACGATGGTAGCTATGATGGTGATGCTGGTGGTGGTGATGGTGGGGGTGGTGCTGTTGGCGGTGGAGATGGTGGTGATGATGGTGGTGATGATGGTGGCGATGGCGGTGAAGATGATGATGATGATGATGACGATGAAGATGATGACGATGATGATGTTATGAGTGATAAGGATGATTACGACGATGATGACAATAGTGATGACGATGGCGACGACGATGATGATGATGATGGTGAAGAAGAGCATGATTAACATGCTGATGCTGATGCTGGTGCGGATGAGGCTGCTGATAATGGTTGTCATGATGATGATGATGATACTGATGGTGATGATGATGATAGTGGTGGTGGCGCTGACAAAGAGGAAGATGATTATGCGTAACTATGATGATGGTGATGGTGGTTAACGGCAACCACAACACTTTCAAACGTGACTGTGATCTAACCCTAGAACCCTGTCTCTGTTTTCTTTGCCCCGAAGAGGAAACAGCTTCTTACGCTGCGTGGGGCCGGGAATGGCAAGGCTCTACGTGAAGCCAACAAGACTACTCGCACAACCGCACACCTGCAACCCCCTAACCCGAACATCCCTGAACCAAGGCGGCAAACACGATCGGCAACTTTGGAGTATTGAAAAGGCTGCAAGCTCAAGGCCGGTGTAAGGGGATGCCAAGCTAAGCTTTAAAGATCCAGGTTCAAGGTTTTAGGATCACAGGCTTTGGCATAGGGATTTAGGCTTGCGCATCTTGTGGGTAAGGATTTTGGGGTTTCGGGGGCCTTCTACCGTGTTAGGGCGCAGGAACTGCTTAGGTTATACGCTTGCTTCTGGAGGGGGGGGTGGGGGTGTCGAAGCCCTCAGACTCAATGCGCCCACCTTTGCCCACGATCTCAATGACATACTCGGTGGCCAGAATGGCAAGGTTTTGCTCCTACAGGGGAATTTCCGAAAATTAGGGGTACCTAATTATGCTACTATTTAGGGTGCTATATTAGGGTCCCCTATTTTCGGAAACTCCCATATAGTGTTTGGCGTTGAAGGAATTTAAACGGTTTGGCTGTTTCGGAAAAACGGCCCCAAGCGTGCAATGCTCCTAGAAAGCGAAACCGGGTAGCTAGGTATTAAACTTAAATATGGGAGAACGCATAGACTGAGTGCGTACCGAATCCAGTTTCGCCTACATGGACCCATTGAGCTGCTAGTCTGAGAAAGGGCTTTCAATTGTTAAACCCGTTGTGCAGATCAGAGATGGCCCCCCTGAAGTGGGGTTCAGTCAGGGTTTAGGGGTGCGGGCATGCAGGTTGGCGATAGCAAGCGCGTCCACCTACTTCGTACCCTTAAGGGGGTTCAAGATGATGGGCTGCATGAGCGAACCACACTTCCTCCACACCAGGTTGCTGAGTGCACTGAGCAGCCCCTTAATAGTAAGGGTGCCCTTTTTCCTAATACTCAGCTTTAATAAGGAGACCCCAAACTCGAAAGGGCAAAAGGGTACTACTGAGGAACCTAGACACTACGAGACCTGACAAGGGGGAGCCGGGGAGGCTGTTCGGCAACATGCACCAGGCTTGGCATCACGACATGCCTTGCATGCACCGTAGGTTTCCTTCCACAAAGCTTACCAGGGCTTAGAATCACAGAGCTGCCAGAGGGTTCCCCATAATATCTAGTGACAATACGGGTCAAAATATCGCAGTGAATAGAATAAGACTTGAACGAGGCTGTTCAGGACTGTGGCTGCCTGCGGCATTGAACGCCCTTTGGTTGAACAGCCGTGCGGCCCCGCGCTAAGCAACAGATGTAAGTCCTGAGCCCTAAACCCTTCGTCCTTATCCTGTCCCGAAGCCCCAGCTCAAAATGGGCCGACACATGGGAGTTTCCGAAAATAGGGGACCCTAAATAGTACCCTAGTAGGAGGACCCTTACTATAAGGACCCCCAAAAAAAGGTACCCCTAATTTTCGGACACTCCCACATAGCGAGCGGCAGACGTCCTTCAGGTCTGCCAAGGAAACACCCTGAGAAGCTTCTGACAGCATTGTTGTGGTAGGGTTTAGGGTTTAGGGTTTTAGTTAATCCATTGCAAATGTACTTTGGCATGACATATCAAAATGTAAGTCAGCATGTTGCTATACAGTGTTATCTCTTACGATTTCACACAATGGAGTCTTATCCAACCGAATATTGCCTATATTGCCTAACCTCTTATATAATAGTATGGTCTAAAATTAACAAAACGATACACCAGGCGAAAAAGTATAAAATAAGCAGTAACAATGAGTGTGCAAGGTTGGCTGCGTGCGCATGCTTCGGTTGGTGCTTGTGGCTGATCTTTACAATGCCGCTTGTATCCTGCTTGCGGATGCCCAAGTCTGGCACAAGAAAACCCTAATACCCTAAACCCTAAACCCCTGAACCCCCGAATCCTACAACCTCAGTCGATGCCGGGCTGCCATGATTTGCATCAGAGCAGCCCTTATGGGAACCCTATAGTAACCCTATAAGCCCCTTTAACGGAACCCTCAACCCTTAACCTAACTCGATGCCAGGCCAAAATATAGTACCCTTAATAGTCGGATCCTTACTCTAAGGGCCCCAAAATTTGGAAACTCCCAACTGGATACCCTAAACCCTACACCCTAAACCCCTAACCCTGAACCCCCTAATGCCCTATACAGAACCCTTATAGATCCCTTTCAGGAGCCCTTTAAGGATCCCTTTAAAGGTACCCCTACTTGGAAGGGCAGGGGACTTAGTAAGTAGGCTATAAGTAGGGTTATAATTGGGGTAACTCCATTTAGGGTACTTCTAACTCTACTTGTAGGTACCAACTTACTAAGAGATCCCTTTAAGGAGCCCTTTAAGGATCCCTTTAAAGGGTACCCCTGAACTCCACGCCAGGCTGCCATGATCTGCATCAGAGCCAAGCTCCGGATTCGCTCTGCGAAAGCGTTCAGCGACTCGATACGAACCTTGCGGCGTCGAGTTGAGGGTCCCTTTCGTAGGTTCCTTTTAAGGGATCAAGCAGGGTTTCTATAAGGGTACTACAAGGGTTTTGGGTTTAGGGCTTTGTAGGGGTTTAGGGTTATAGAGTTTTTGGGGGCTTAGGGTCTTTAGGGGGTTGATGTTTAGGTCTACTTTTTAACGGTTTAGGGGTATAGGGGTCGAGGGCTTCAGAGGTTTAGGGCTTTAGAAGTTTAGGGCTTGAGGGTTTAGGGGTTTAGAAGTTTAGGGCTTGAGGGTTTAGGGGTTTAGAAGTTTAGGGCTTGAGGGTTTAGGGGTTTAGGGTTTGGGGCCTTACTTGTCGGGGCAACTAAAGGCTAAGCTTTGCAGATGACTGTATATTTCAAACAGCCTTACAAGCCTAGTGTATGATTTCTAGACCCCTGCCCCTGTCCTACCTAGAACCGACAATGTATGTAGTTCAATGTCTGGGTTTAGCCAGTTCTGTATTTAGGATCCTCTAAGGTAACCCAAAAGAAGCAACTACAATCGAGAGTATAGGTAAAGTTGCTGCTGCATCTGCTGCTGCTGCTGCTAACCCTAAACCCTAAACCCCTAAACCCTAAACCGTGATGTTGCTGATCTGAACGTTTCTGCCGTGGGTCGTGGTAATGCTGGCGGTGATTTGGGAGTTTCCGGAAATTAGGGGTTCCTTATTTTGGGGTCCTTATAATAAGGATCCTACTATTTGGGGTACTATATTGGGGTCCCCTATTTTCGGAAACTCCCATTTGGCTTCTGATACTCCTGTTGCAGCGGGCGGTACTGTTGCTGCCGCTGCAGCTGCCGGTGGTGCCAGTGCTGAAGCTTGTGCTGATCTTCTGCTGCCGTTGCTGATTAGTTGTGCTGTATCGGCATCGCAGTCGTTTCGGCGGCATGGTCTTGCTCGCCTTGTTGTGTCGCTCGCTGTTTGTATTCATAAGCAAGGCAACGGGAATCCAACATCAAGGTATAATCAGAAAGGGACAACAGGACAGACAGTTCGAAAGGGGCAGGGAAACCACCCCACCCAACAACCTCAGCTGAGGCTATGTGGCGGCAACGTGGCCACGTTTTCGCTACGAACTTCTCCAGCTTCAGCACTCACCCCAGGAGTAAGCCTCTGGCGTGTCCGTTCGGCGCAGTGTCCTGCTGTCACGGGATGGAAGGGCACACTCAACCCTTAACTGTCATCCCTTGAGCCTGATGCCAAGTTGGAAACATCAGTCTGAAAACATCCTGTTTCCACGCGCAAACACATACAGACATACATACGTATATCCATGCATGCATACATGCTTACAAACACACATGATACCTATGCACATGCATATGCATATTCATCTGCGTGTGCATTTGCACATGCGTCTGTATCTTGCAATATGCACAAAAAAGTGTACATATAAACAGACACTGATGTGTTTATGCATGTATCTGCACACAGATACACACGCACCCGTGTGTATATACACCCAGGCATCTGCGAGACCATAACCATGCTGTTGTATGTATGTTTGTATGTATGTATATATATATATATATACATTTACATATCTATATGATCTATATGTATGTTATCAAATATATATACACACATGTATGTATGTATGTATGTATGTATGTATGTATGTATGTGTGTGTGTGCGTGTCTGCACATTAATAATTCTGTCTGTGCGTGCATGAGCATTTGCCTATACAGGCATGCATGCATACTTGCTAAAAATCGTCTTGAGTTTCTTACTTACTGACTAACTTACATGCGCATATACACATAAGCATATACATAGACATGCACATGTACATGCACACACACATACATCCATCCGCCCAGCGAGCAATCCTTCCATCCATCCATCCATCCATCCATCATTGGATGGATGCATGCATGCATCCATACGCACACGGACAAGCATGCATACAAATGCATGCATATTTATTTACATACGCGCATGCATATATGCAACCATGGGAAAATGCATACAAGCGAGACATACAGAACAAACATGCATGACATGCACGTTGTGGGCAGACAAATCAGCAAAGATACAGCTCACCATGGCAACGAACAGCGACATAGATAGTTGTACGCATATACAATATATATATATATATATATATATATATATACAATATATATATATATATATATATATATATATATATACACACATGTACATGTATGTATACACGTATGTATATAGAAATATATCGTACATACATGTATGTGTGTGTATATATATATGTATATATTATATATTATATTTGTTTATTTATATAAAGATACGTTGAACACGCGTGCAGATCTACATAATGCCTCCTGACGACACTCAGGCGTTGTAGTTTTGGCTGTCAGGAGAGCAGAGGAGCACCAATCCTCTAGCACGACAAGCAAAGACAGACCATCAATCGCCCAGACCTTCCAAAATCCCTTAAAATAAGGAATATACCTTAAATCATATTAAGGATCCTATTATATTTTAAGGTATATTCCTTAATTAAGGGATTTTGGAAGGTCTGGGCGTCTATGGACCTGAACCTCCAAAGCCCATTGCAAGCATCACAGCATGAACTGACAGTCACTTTACACCGCTTCAGCCTGAACATGCAATCTCAATGGCTGAAGTCCTCGCAGTGGACTCGCACAGGCATGGAAAGCGTTTTGCGTTCCTGCTGCACTCTTGCGAACAGGCTTCTGGGTTGAAGGTTAAGGCTTCTTGAACAGACATACAAACGATCATGGTCAACTCCACTTCTTGCTTTGGTAGACCAGTCATCTCCTCAAAACAAGCGATACCTAAACCTTAAAGCCAAAACCCTATAGCTCGGGCATCCGAAATTGAGTCACCAACTCTCTCCGGGGGTTCCCCACTCTTGTACAAACCCGCCGCAAGTCTGGTGTTGTATGGGCTAGGGCTTTAGGGTCGAGGCGTTAAGTTTTGAGGGATTTTAGGGTTCAGCCTGCCGCAGTAAATTCAAACGGGCAACCCTGTCAATGGGGCGTCTGCTAGGAGAACCGATGCATTCAGAATTGCACCAAACAAGTTTGAACAACAAAGAAGCCGTGAAAACCCTAAACCCCAAACCCCTAAACCCTAAACCGCTAAACCCTCAACCCTAAACCCTCAAGCCTAAACCCGAACCAAACCCCGAAACCTACACGCGGTTTATGGCCGCCAGAGTTTTTAGGATTTTTGACTCATCCTGCCTCTTTGCTAAGAGGCCTTAATTCCGAGACGCGCATTCCTTATGGTTCATACCTATGGTCTAATACAGGCCCGAGCCTCGTTAAAATAATAAAGGCCCCTACATTCTGCGAGGAAGGAGGTCTTTGTGAAGGAGGTTTGTTAAATGTAGCGGTCTTAATAATTAGAAGCTGGTTTTGGAGTATATTATACTATAGCTATAACAATGACCCCCTAACATAGTTGGTAATTATAAAGCCCCTATTTTCGCTGTTAACCTTTTTGGTCATATAGGGGTTATAGAGGGGCCATACTACCCCAAAAAGGTTAAAGGTTACTTACTCTACTACTAGGTTAAGGCTTCAAGGTCTTAGGTTCAAAGTTTTGAGCGGCTGGTTAAGGCTTTTGGAATTCATCTACAGGGCTTCAGAAATTTCTGGTGGTTTCCCATTCCCAAACTCTAAACCCCAAATTTTAATCCCCGAAACCCCCAAAAAAACAACCTTAGACCCGAAACCCTGTACCCTAAACCACGAAACCCCCGAACCCGAACCCAATAACCACAAAGCCTATAACCCTAAAGCCAATAACCCTAAAGCCTATAACCCTAAACCCTATAACTCTAAACCCTATAACCCTAAAGCTTATAACCCGAAAGCCTTAAACCCAAGGAGGCGCCTGACTCCAAGCTGGCACCTCAAAGGAGGAAGTCGACTCGGGGTCTCTTCTGCTTGGGTAGCCGCCAGGATCCTCCAAACCGTCGGGTTTTAAGGGGCTCCTGGGGCTTTAGGGCTTTAGGGTTTCGGGGTTTAGGGTTTTAAGAGTTTAGGGCTTAAGGGCTTAAGGGTTTAGGGGTTTAGGGGTTTAGGGGTTTAGGGGTTTAGGGTTTTAAGAGTTTAGGGTTTAAGGGTTTAGGGGTTTAAGGGTTTAGGGTTTAAGGGGGTTCAGGGTTTCGGGTTTAAGGTAAGTTTAGGGCATAGGGGTTTAGGGGTTTGGGCTGAAGGCTTCGCGCTGAGGGGTTCGGTACCCTGAGACTCCAAGACAACAAATAGTACCTACGTTGGGCTATTTGGAATCTTAGGGTCGGGTTCTGGGGTGCTCTTACAATAAAAGAATATCGGGTCTATAGCTGGAAAACCTGGACCTGATTTGTAATGTCGACCTCCATGTTACGCGATGTACCGTGGGGTTCAGAATTTTCGAGCTGCCGTAGATGGAGGATCGAAGTGTCTGTTGATGGCCTTGGCGCACATCCCCAAAGCCCTCAACCCTAAACCATCCTAACGTTATTCTGCTGAGCTGAACCCCTACATTTTTAAGGACTTATATAAAGAAATCATAATAATAAGGAACCCTAAAAAGGTAGAATATTCGGGGTTAAGGTAAGCCCTAAACCCCTGACACTAAACTAGACAGTTTCCGAGCCCTAGGCTCCAGCGCCTCATTCCTGAAAGCTTCTGCGGTTTCTGGGAAACGCAAGAGCGTTGCAAGTTTCGGCTGTTTCCTCGATGTTCCCTATGCTACCCAGGGTGAGCAAGCTCTGGTTTAGGTTCAGTGGTTTTGGGTTTTTATGTTCAACAAAATTCCTTATGTTGGAAAACTACGTTCCGCAGGCTTCCAGATGAAGGTGTATTGTTTCGAGACTCTGCGACCTGATAATCATCACAATGCTCCCGGCGCAGCATGCTTTGGAAGCATACAGGCCGCAGCATTTTCATCTCGAAACTCTCGAACGACTGTAAAGGCTCTAGAACCGAAAGCCCAAAACCCCGAACCCTGACCCATGAACCCGATTCTGACCGAAAGCTCCTGCGCCGCCGGAGACGGCGCTGCCGCTGGTGCTTTCGCTGGCGCTGGCGCTGGCACCGATGCCGAAGCCGCTTTGGCTTCGGTGGCCTCGGCTCTAGCAAGAAACTCCTAAAGCGAATCCTGAAAAGGAAATCATGTTTCAGGAACCCATATTGAAGAATCCTTTAGAAAGAACCCTTAAAGGAATCCTGAAAAGGAAATCCTGTTTCAGGGACCCATATTGAAGAATCCTTTAGAAGCAATCCTTAAAGGAATCCTCAACAAGGAATCCTTCGAGGAAGCCTTGAAAAGCAATCCCTACCTCGAACAGGACAAACACTCTAAACCCTAGAACCCTAAACCCTGAAACCCTAAACCCTAAACCCTAAACCTCTAGACCCCCGAACCCTAAAACCCTAAACCGGAGCCTTCTTCTTCTTGGGCTTCAGAAAGCCTCCGCTGCCGATGAAGAGCTGCAAGTCCTCGTGCACTGGGTTCTAAGGGCTTAAAGGGGCTTTAGGGGTTTAGGGTTCAAGGTTTAGGATTCAGGGTTTAGGGTTTAAGGTTCAGGGTTTAGGGTTTAGGGGCTTAGAGCTCAAAGGTTTTTTTTGGTTGAGGTGTTTATGGATTTAGGGGTTTGAGGTTTATGAGGCTTATATAGGGTTATAGGGCTTTAGGGTTCAGGGGTTTATCGGTTAACAAATAAGGGGGTTATATATAGGGTATATGGTCTAGGGGTTTAGGGTTGAGGGATTAGGGCTTTGGCGGCGACCCATCAGCCAGGGGCCACAACAGGGACCTTCATGGTTAGACGAGGGTTACGAGATTTCTTATCGCAAAGTTATGAGAAGGAGCCCTCAGGAATAGATGAAACTAGTTCCTCAGCCCCCGATGTTGCGGTTCAAAATCAGCAACCTTTGAGTTTCAAGCTTGGGATTTCTGTGCCTTATTGTTGACTAGGGTTTACGGTTCCGGGTTTCCAAGCCCAAGTACGTAACGAAGAAGGAGAGTTTACCCAAGCGAAGTCGCATCCGCGCAGTGTACCTTGCTCTGGAAATAAGAAAAAGCAGGAACGGTTGCTGAACGCAACCTCGCATTAAAACTACTTGAGTGCCATAGTCACTGGCTTTCTTGGTGCTACCTGCATAAACCTGGAAATCCGAAAAAACCTGCCATCTCGTCATGATGCGCACTCCTACCATATACTAGTACGAGCAACTCGTACCCCCCCCAACCCGGTCCCAATCTCTCTATGACACACAAAGGCTCCCATAATCACCATGATCTGTCTCATCATTCGCAAAGGTACCCAGCCCTGTCCCAACACCTCCGAGTCTGGATGCAAGATAAAGGCAAGTTCACTGTGGAAAGGACATCACAAATAAGGTTTGCATGATATCTGGCACGAGCAAGAGAACCATCGAGCCCTCAAATCGGAAATTCCTCCAGCAATTTTCAAACGAAGGTGGAAGCCGTCAAGCCCAGGCGTCGACAACTCTTCATCCTGACACTCTTGTCAAGTGAAACAGACGAAGATAATATGTCTCCCTACCCATTATCCTGTAAATCCCACAGCCAACACGGCCCACCAGACATGGGGACACCAACACTCCGCAAGCCTCAACCCGTATATATATATATATATATATATATATATATACCCATAAACTAAACCCTAACCCCCAACCCCAAACCCTAAACCCCAACCCCAAACCCTAAACAGCCCGCCTTGGGTTCCCACTCTTCCGCCCCGGCGGGCCATGGAAGGGCCGCAGCATCCACGTCCGGAAACTCGGCCTTGACATCGGCGCACGTGCTGTTACTGCAGGAGCCCTAATACTTACAATAAGATTCCTTTAAAGGGTTCCTTCTGTTCCTTACAGGGGGATCTATAAGGGATCTATACGGGTACTTTTCTGTGGGGGCCCCTGTGAATTAGAATAGGGTTTCGGGGTGAAGCGGACTGAACGTCGGGGCGAGCAAACAGAAACAGGGTGTCTCGGGGTATGTCATAGTATATTGCGAATAAGGAACCCAAAGAATCTCATTTAGGCTTCTATGTTCCTGTTTCGGATCGCATGTCGCGGGCGGCCTAACAGACGTATGTATGCATTAACGAATGTATGTATGATGGTGTGTACCCCTATCTATCTATCTAGCTATACATGTGTGCAGCCAGAAACAGGGAGAGAGTATGATGATGCAGCTCCACCTTACTATATTCAACTACACTATATTGATGCTCGAGCTGTGTTACAACATGATATGACGCGATATTGTCTTCTTGGTTTAACACGTTCATATTATACATGACTACACGTACACATAACGCGGGGACATAAGCAATAATGAGGCATGCTTGCCTATACCATAAGCCCATGGTATGCTTGCAGCATCGTGGAAGGGCGGCTATGCAGGCTCAACGTTTGGGACCAGCATGCCCTGTTGTATTGATTTTGAAAGCCCAGGCACCGAGATTCGAGATCGGTTGCGCAAGCAATCCCACAGCTGAGCAAGGAAAAAGTGTGGGGTGCAGGGCACCGGGTTTAGGATAAAGGCTTTCGCATTCGGGGTGCACGGACGCGTCCCCACAAGGTCCAGTAGAAACTGCATGCCGTGGATGAAGAAAGCTCCCCGCCCCTTTTAAATTTATTTGACGAAAACTCAGAGTCCCGAATCACAACAAATGCCATCTAGTATAGTGTAGTCTAGCACAGTGGAGTATAGCATATTGTACCATAGTTACTATAGTAGGCAAGTCCGGTGATCCACCAGAAGTTCCCAAAGCAAACCCACGGCCCGGTACATCTCCTAGACCTAAGAGTAACCTAGGAATAAAAAGGGTGCCCTTTTTGCATTAGAGGGTGTTATAAGGGAACCTAAACCCTACAAAAAGGGAATAAGGGCCTACTCCAGGTCCTACGGTTGATGATATAAATCCTGCATGACCTTAAGGACCCTAAACTATGGGAATTATGGTATATTCCTTATTATGGGTAATGCAGGATTTATATCCCTAAACCCTAAAACCCTATAGATGCCTTAAAGGAGCCCCTTAAAGGTACCCCTTATAGATCCCTTTAAAGGAACCCCCCAGGATTTATATCATCAACAGTAAGTCCCCAACCCTAGACTCTAAACCCTAAACCTCTGAACCTTAAGCCCTAAACCTTAACAGCTGTACCTCAAAGATCTCTGACCGTTATCATCAACCGTAGTCTCTGGTCCTCCGCAGTCCGAGGCGCGAGGATACTCTTGAGATGCGGATTCTCCATGGCAGGGGCTTGGAGGGTCGGGGGACTTAGTATAAGGGGTTCCTTTAAAGGGGTCCTTTAAAGGGATCTATAGGGATTCTATAAGGGTTTAGGGTTTAGGGGGACTTAGTAACTGGTTATTTTAGGGACTTATAAGTACCATAACCCCAATTAGGGTCGCTTTTTAGGGTACTTATAAGTCTACTTACTACCTACTTACTAAGTCCCCCGACCCTCCAAGTAGGGTTTAGGATTGAGGGTTTAGGGCATGGCTTGGCGGTGTATCATACAGTTTATATAAGGAACCCCCAAAATAGTATAGATAGTTATTAAGGCAACTATAGTAGAGTGTTAGGGTCTTTGGGCTGAGGGTGCAAGGGTAAGTCTAGAGTCGAAATGCAGGCTCAGGGTAATTGAGATTTCGCAGAGTTCGCTGTCCGAGATGCGACAAGATGCGGGAATGGACAGGAAGTCTGACTTGCATGGAGGCATCTGAACAGTTTAGGGTTTGGGGTCTAGGGGGACATGAACGACAGCATCACAACACTACTTGGGGGTTCATGGGACTTAGTAAGTACAGTTTTAAGTACCGTAACTGGCGCGATATCCAATTTTAAGTATAGTTACCTCATTTATAACCATAGTTACTAAGTCCCATGAACCTTTAAGTATGCCTGGTTCTCCTGAGCAACCTCCCACACCATGCAGCGCTCTGCACCGTTTCTACTACACCGATACAGGAGAAGACTTGGAAGAAGTTGAAGCACTGAGACTGGGGATGGGTCCCCAAATTTCCCGAATGCCGAAAAAGGAGGCTTCAGGAATGCTGGAAGTTGAACGGAGGATCTTAAGAAGCATGCAGTAATCACAGGAATCATCGTGACAGGCGGCTGCAAAAGCAGTTGCGGCAGTATCTGAAGTTCACATGTTCCACAAGGGCCTGCAGCCTTAATGGAGCACCTATCTCCGCTCAGGGTACGAGCACACAGAAGCTTACATAATTCACAACTCAAATCATTGCGGCACAGTATTGCAGAACCTTTGGATCATGAGTGAAGTGGATGAGTTCATGGTGCAAGTTCGGCTAGTACTACACCCCCGACATTCAAGCTGAAACGCGGCACCGTAAAAAGTAAAACAAGACAAAGGCGGTCCACTACTGCAACAGGGACTTCCTCTAGGATTTACCTAAACCCTGAATAACCTACCTTCTTAGGGCTCCTTATTATGATTTCTTTATATAAGTCCTTAAGAATGTAGGTTCTTCGGGGTTAAGGTAGGGTTTAGAGTACCGCCCTCCCCACACCCCTAAACCACACAACGCCTTCCCTGCTACTCAGCATACAGCAAACATGCTTCTGATTCTAGACCCAAGAGTAGCCGAGGAATAAAAAGGGTGCCCTTTTTGGGTTAAAGGGGGTTAAAAGAGAACCTAAACCCTTAAACAGGGAATAAGGGGCCTACTCTGGGTCCTAGGATTTGGAACACTCCTTCGACATTTGAGCGTGCTGCTGAATGTCTTCAATGGCCTCGGTCGCCGCGCGCTGGGTTTGGGGACCCGAGTGCCTACTTAAAGGATGATGGGACTGAGTAAGTAGGGTTACATGTAAAGTAACTACAGTGAAAAATACTAAAAACGCCAATTAAGGTACTTATAACCCTACTTACTAAGTCCCATGATCCTCCAAGTAGATTAGGTAGAAGTCGCAACCTCGATTGTTAGGCACAGCCAAGGGCTTCAGCGAAGGCCCCCTAGCTGAAAGCTTTTGGCAGGGCTTGTGCTGCAGCACTATGTAGCTTTACGGATGTACAGTGTGCCAAATCCTATCATCGAACCCAAATCCCCAAACAGTAAACCCTACACACGAGGCTGTGCTGGCAGTCGATCTTTCACTCAGAGAAACTCTCAACAGCTCCGACGGAGTCTTTCCTGATGTCCCTGGTCAAGACCTCGGTTTGCTTTTTAAAAGCCATGCTGAAAATAATTGTAAACAAGATCCTCTTGGGCCCAAGAAGCCGAAACCCTACATAAACCCATCTCCCTTGGTCCGGCGCGCGCCCGGGTAGGTCGAGATCCTCGCAGATGTCTGCATGGAGATCCTTCGTCTGTTTCGAACAGGGTTTCAGGTTTTAGTTATTGTTTTCTTTACTGTAAGGGCTCCTTTTCGATCTGCAGACTGCCTTTCGAAAGTTCTGGGAAAAGTGGTTAAGGGTTTCGTCCATTGGACCGGAAACAACTCCTTCTTCTCATCGTTCTCATATTTGGTGAATTCCACAAGCTCATCTGGAGAAGACGACAAGAAGCTGAAGCTATCTTTAAACTCAGGTTGGTCAACATCCGATGGGGCTTTGGGTTTACCCTAGACCCTCGGACGAACATCGCGTGCTTCCCTGCCTTTAGGTTCGATCTGGTGGTCAATGCAGTGTAATATATGTCAACAAACAATGTACAGCACAACAAATAAACTACACTATGCTGTACTGTGCTCTGCTATAACATACTAGAGTTATTAATCAACCATAATACAGGTTATTGTAAATAGAACATGTTGCCATGTAACACATAATAGAATAAGACAAGATATCATGTAGAATACTGTACTGGAACATGTGGTATAAAGCAAAGTGGAAAAGCATAAAAGGTAGTAAACAAATAACATGTCATATAATGGTTATATAAGAATATGACACAACATGACATAAAATAAAATCAAATTCACACAAGATAAGAAATATGACACAAAATGACGACAAATGACAAAGCAAAACAGCTGCTCAATATTATGAAAACTGTAATCTAACAAAATGCACAGCAGTATAGTATAATGTAATAAAACAGAATAGAACAGACTAGACTAGAATAGTTGTTCGTTTGCTTGCTGGTTTGTGTGTCTGGGTCTGTCTATGTCTGCCTGTCTGTCTATCCGTGTGTGTGTGCGCCTCTGCGCTGCAGTCCTGATTGCTTGGTGATTTGAGTGGTGCCAGGTGGGGCTCATAGTGGGCGGTACTATGACTGCTCTTCAAGTCCTAGTCTCTACCGCTGAACCCTCGGAAAGGACGCATCTTGGCAACTCTGCCTCCGGCGTCGTGCGGAGCGTGTTTGCAATGTCAGCCAAAGTTGACCTTCAGGTGGCGAAATCGGAGATAGAATTCGCAAGGAAGTCCAGTTGATGCTGATGATGCTCGCCTTGCAGCTTTAGTTACAAGCAATCTCTCTCGTAGCGGCTGTGTGCGCACATTCTCCGTGCGTTGCACCACAACCACAAACTCAGTCACAAACACCACAACCACATCTACAACCAAAACCACCAGCGGCACCCAACCACACCGATACCACCACCACCACCACGACGACCACCACGACCACGACGACAATGTGATCACCTTCAACGTCAACACCTACAACACGAGATCGGAGTGGTATGAAAGAAAGATGATGATGCTGGCCGTGCGCCTGCCTGTGGGTTCAAACAGCAGGAGATCGGAGAGAGAGAGAGAGAGAGGGAGAGGCAGGAAATCCATATTCTGTTGTGCTATATTACATTATCTTATGTAACATATATATATAGAGACATATATATATATATATAGATACATGTAGAGATTCTGTTATATGTATATATATATGTATATATATATATATATACAGATGTATATGACCATATTGTATAGCCGATGCTTATGATGTGGTTGGCGCCACGATCACCATAAAACTCAAAGCTTCGACATGGCGATTCCAGGTGTGTTCGATTATCAAACGACGCCTAGAGAGCTAACTCCCGAAACCTACGGTTTAGGGTTTAGGGTTTAGAGACCCTAAGCGTGGTGGGGTTCAGAGCTCATTTTGGTTGGTACAGACGAGGATAGACTCAACTCGCGACACCAAGCACGATGCTTGATGTAAGCCCATGCCATACCGGTCATTGAAACAGGATGATCTTGATTGTCTTGAACATTTGATCATGTTGTGGGCAGTCTGGTAATCAGGATCCTACTATCTACTCCAGGGTAGTATTTAGATCAGCAAAGTCACCAGGGTGGTGTATTCATCTCTCTTGCAAGACGGCCTGGTGTGTAGACGTGGGCGCTTTGCGTGGGTATCCCTCTCCTGGCCGCACGCTGTTCATGAGCATGTAGGAGGAGTTCTTCAGCTGTTGATGTTACGCGTAGTGGTGGCTGCGATGGCACTGGTTCTTCGTTTAATACACAACGGCGCGAAGAAGAATCACAGCTTTCCTTACTCTGGATATTGCGCATGACGGTCCCATCGTAAGGCCTTTCTTCATGAAGCCGCGAACTTCGCAACCCGAAAGCCTAACCCCTGAATCCCAAAACCCTAAACCCTGGAAGCTGCCCCCACCCTGTAATAGTGACGAAAAGGATTATATTAGGGCCCTATTATATTCCGATTATACCACTATTACAGGGTGGGGGCCCCTTCTAACCTAAACCCTGGACCCCAAAACCCTAAACCCTGACTGAACCCCAAAACCCTAAACCCTGAACCCCAAAACTAGGGCCCAACAAAAGCACATAAGCAAAAATTAGGATAGGGATATCCCATATAAATCCCCTTATAATCAAGCCCAACCAGGTAGGGATATCCCAATAAAACGCTTATGCTTATGTGCTTTTTGGGTCCCTAAAAAACCCTAAACCCTGACTGAACCCCAAAACCCGACACCCTCTGCCAGACAGCGGTGCAGCCAAGAGTCTGCCTACGAGGATGCTGCATGCGCACTGCATAGGACTCACGAAAAAAGTTTTAGTTATAATCGTAGTAATAATAGTAATAATAGTAATAATTGTAATAATAGTACTAATAGTAATAATAGTAGTAATAATAATAATAGTAACAATAGTAATAATAGAAAATAGTAATACTAATAGAAATAATACTAATAGTACTGATCATATTATGTAGCAGGTTGATCGGTGCTCAGGAAGCTCAACAACTACAGGTGAACGGCCGAAGAGAGCATGTTTCGGGACAATCCCTAAGGCCTTAACCCCAAATCTTT